CCAAAATGGCCTCCAATATCGCCCACACGCGCCCAAGAGGCCTCAAGACGGCCGTGCCCTCCGAGCCCTCCGAGGATTCCCAAGAGGCCAACATTGGTTCAAAACCTGAGGAAAATCAATGTTTTGTGACTTTTTGCTTTTTCGCTTCCGATGGGCTCCTGAGGCGTCAAGATGGCCCAAACATGGCACAGCATAGCCCCAAGAGAGGCCCGATAGGGCCCCAAGACGGCCCCAAGAGCGCCCCAAGCGCGGTTCAAGAGGGCCCCAAGACGCCCCTTATTAGGCCTCCGAGGGGGGGACCTAATTTACTACCCGCCTCTTTTTAAGCGAAGGGGTCCAAGACGGCCCCAAGAGGCCTCCCACCCCCCCAAAAGACCCTGAAGAGGGCCCCGAGAGGCCTCCCAGACCTCCCAAACATACCCCACGAGGGCCCCAAGACTCCCCAAAAGAGCCCCGAAAGAGCATCAAAAGAGCTCCAAGAGACCCGCAAGAGAGCCCCAAGAGGGTCCAAGAATAGAACATCAGATTCTACGACGGGGTCCGCTGCGCCAGAGACGCTTACCACAAGGAACACCCCGGCGCATCTTGCACTGGTTTCCATATTAAACTTCGCTGCGGGAAACTAGGGTGGAGGCAGCCACCTGCGCTGGAGACGTTTACCACGGGGAGCACCACGTCGTATCTTGCACTGATTTCCATCTTAAAGTTCAATGCGGGGAACTATTTGTGATCCTTGTTTTTCTGAAGACGGCCGCGCAACTGCATGCTTCCAGCCGTCCCTGATTTACCAACTCCCCTGCTGATCGTTTCTGGAAGGGCTGGTGGGGATACTTTTTTGATCGCGACCGCGAGCGGGCACCTGCGCGGCGTCTGAAAGGTCGTGCTACGAGCGGTCCCTGGTGGGGATACTTTTTGTCGCAACCGCAGGCGGGAGCGCCAGCGGCGAGTCAGGTCCGAGCGGGCCGCGCAAGAGCCAAATTACCCTGGTGGGGATACGCGAAGCGTCAAGCATTTGAACACCACCCGCCCCCAATCCGCGACACTCTTGCAAATCTTAAAACCAACGCGCGCGGCACCAAAGCGGGTCACTAGGCGTGTGAGATTGTTCCCCCCCCATAACCCCACCCCGGGACCCCAAACCGGCAATTTGACCCCCCCCCTCGTGGTGGACGACCCTCCGCCGAACTCATCCGAGGCGGTCTGGGCTCCCCGGGCTCGGTTGGGAGCTTCCGACGCCACCCCCAAGATGGCCCAAGAAAGCACAAAGTCGCCGAATGATCGCTTCAAGACGCCCATGGTGGGCCCCAGGCGGCCTAAGAGGGCGCCACGACGCTCCAAGAGGCCTCCGACCGGCTGCCGAAGCGGGGCCCTGGAGGCCCAAATCGTGCAATTCTATAGGAAAACGTACATTGTTGGCATATACGCCTTTTCGGCCAACACGGCGTTGACAATGGCCCACGAGGCCGCCAAGACCGCTCCAAGAGGGCCCAAGAGGCTCCCAAGAGGGCCCCAACACCGCCAAGACGGCCCAAGAGGCGCCCAAGACAACCCAAGAGAACCCCCAGGCGGCCTCAAAAGGGGCCCAAGAAGGGGAGCCCGAACCGAAAATCCGAGCCTTCCGCCCCCGGAGGCCCCCAAGAGGGCCCAAGGGAGCGGCCGAAGGCACCAAGAATCCGTCAAGACATCCCAAAAGGCCCCCCAGTACGCCTCTCAGGAAACACGAAGATACCAAAATCGCCGAATTCCTTTTCCTTGATCTCCTTCTTCTCCTCTTCCTCCACCGCATCCTCCTCCTTCTCCTCCTCCTCTCCCTTTCTACCACATCGCCTGGTCAAACAAAGCCCAACACAACGCATGGCGGAATGGGCGGCAGCCGCGGTGCCCACGGCTGGCAGCCACGATGGACAACCCCTGAGGCCTCCTAAGAAGGCCCCAAGACAGTCCAAGAAAACCCCGACTCGCCGAAAGACCGTTCCAAGACGCCCAAGATGGCATCCAGACTACCCACGATGCCCCTAGGCCGCCCCGCAAAGCCTCCGAGAGAGCTCCCGAGACCCGGCGATAGCCCCTGTTGAAAAAAAAAGGGTCGGCGGATGTGAAGTAAGCCTATATTCGCCGGCCCAACGGGCCAGGGCGTGCTAAGATCTCCGGTAACTGGTTAACAGTATTAACAGTATTTCTAGTTCGCGCGCGCGGGGCGGCCCCTGGGGGTCCCCCGGCGAAAAGTACCCCGACCAACGCCCGGTCGCCTCCCGACCAAGTCTACTCAGAGATGGTTTTCCTTCTGGGTGCGGCCTCTCAGGCTCCCAGAGCGCGCTCAGAGTGCCCCAAGAGGCCCCCAAGACTGCCCAAGAGGCCCCCGAGACGCCCAAAGAGCGCTCGAAGACGCCGAAGATGACCCCAAGACGGCCCAAAAGGCCCCCAAGACAGCCCAAGAGGCCTCCAAGACGCCCCAAGAGCCTTCCAAGAGGCCTCCGAAGAGAGCCCCAAGAGGCCAAAATCGTTGATTTTCATTGGTTTTTTCGAATGTTTTTTGTGTTCTGGCTTTTTCGGCTTCCGGACGCTCCAAGACGGCCCAAGAGGCCCCCAAGACCGCTCCAAGACGGCCCACGAAGCTCCCAAGACGGCGCCGAAACGACCCAAGAGAGCCCTCAAGACGGCCCAAGTGCCGCCCAAGACGGACCAAGAGGCCCCAAGACGGGCCCAAGAGGGACTCAGGAGGGATACCGAGAACTCAAAAATGGAGCCCTCCGTCCCAGAAGGCGCCCAGGAGGTCCCAAAGAGGCCCCAAGAGGCCTCCAAGAGGCCCCAAGATGTCGCCAAGAGGCCCCAGGAGACTCCCAGGAGGCCCAAAAGAAGCCCCAGAAGGCTTCAAACATGTCTCCCAGGCGCCCCCGAACGGCCTCTCAACAGACCCCAAGAGGCCCCCCAAAGAAGCATCTTGACGACGACTCTATTTCGCCCCATCGAGAGACGACCCCCAGGGAACTGCTTCACCATCAAAACTCCCCACGCAACGCGTCCGAACGACACCCGCCCCCAAGAGCGCAACATGGGCAACGAACACACAGACAAAAACCAGCGATGCCATATCACGGGCCGGCGGAATGAGCGAAGCGATTCAATAATCTTAAAACCAACGCGCGCGGCACCAAAGCGAGAACCACAGTTTGAAAAGCACCCGCCCTCAATCCGTGGTAGTCTTGCATTTTTTCGAATCAATGCGCGCGGCGCTTAGTCGAGAACCAAATTTTGACCCCCCCGCTCTCAATCCATGAAACTCTTGCAAAACCTAAAACCAACGTGCGCGGTACCAAGACGAGAACCACATTTTGAAAACCACCCGCCCTGAACCCGTGAAGCTCTTGCAAATCAAAAAAAAACACAACGTGCGCGGCACCAAGGCGAGGACCACATTTTGAAATACACCCGCCCTCAATCCGTGGTACTTTTGCATTTTTTCGAGTCAATGCACGCGGCGCTTAGTCGAGAACCGCATTTTGAAAACCACCCGCTCTCAATCTAAAACCAACGTGCGCGGCACCAAGACGAGAACCACATTTTGAAAACTACCCGCCCTGAACCCGTGAAGCTCTTGCAAATCTAGAAAAACCAACGTGCGCGGCGCTAAGACGAGAACCACATTTTGAAAAGCAACCGTCCTAATCCGAGAGCCTCGCGCAACTTTTTATAAACGAATGCGCGCGGCGCTAAAGCGAGAACCACATTTTGAAAACCACCTGCTCCCAATCCGTCAAACTCTTTCACAACTCTAAAGCCAATGTGCGCGGCGTTACAACGAACACCACATTTTGAAAACCACCCGCCCACAATCCGCGAAACTCTTGCACAGTTTGATAATCAATGCACGCGGCGCTAAGGCGACAGCCATATTTTGAAAAGCACCCACCCTCAATCTGTGAAGGTCTTGCAAATTTTGAAAACGAAAGTGCGCGGCGCTAAGGCAAAAACAACATTTTGAAAACGACCAGCCCTCTATCTGTGGAAACGGTGGTCAACATTGAAGTTGCACGGTCGTAAGTGGTGAGGAAGTCTCAAGCGAAACGCCCGGCCCGCCCCTTCGACCAGCCTCGGGGGCGACAAGGAGAAGTTATTTAGAATGAGAAGGAACGGAGGATGAGGAGGACGACGACGAGGAGGCCGACGAGGAGGAGGACGACGAGGAGAGGAGGGGGAGCAGGAGGGGGAGGAGCATAAAAGGGGGAGGAGAAGGGAAGGGGAGGAGGAGCAGGAGACGGGCGGGGAGAACGAGGAAGAAGACGAGGGGACTCCGAGGGGAGCACAGAGGAAGGGAGGCTGATGATGAGGTGAGGGCGAGGGGAGCAGCGGGGAGGCCAGAGCAACGGGGGCCAAGAGGCGCCTCCGTCACTCTACTCTCCCTCGAGGGCCCCCCCAGCCTCGCCGCTGGGCTTGCGGTCAATCGGGCTCTGTTTTTCCCTCCACTTCCTCCATCCCACCCCCCTGTGCTCCTCCTCCTCCTCGTCCTCATGTTCCCCTCTTCCCCTCACTCCGTCCTCATCACACCCCTCCCCATTGGCTCCTCGTTCTCCTCTTCCCCTGCGGTGTTCCTCCTCGCCCTCCCCTTCCCTTCCCCATTCCCGAGGATCGCGCTACACATGTATCAAGGGGGCCGAGGCGGGACCACTGGTGGGGGCCTCCCGAGCAGGATGGGAAAAGAGGGAAGGCGAGGAGAGGTGGAAAAGTGAGAAGCAGACCGTGCGCGTATTCTAACGTGCAAATTGGACGCACTGTCATAATTCAACCGTCGCCTGTGCCAAACTCGTCTGTGATACAACTCTAATCGGAGTACACATCTCGGGGACCCCCAGCATGCAACTGCACCGCCACTAGGTACCGAATGCCTCGCCCGTCTTTCCGCTCAGCGTGCGTCATCGATCGTGTGGAACCAATAAGTATTTCGCAAGACTGGCGGTCGAACGGGAAGTGAGACATGTCGATCGTGCACCTGCTTTCTAAGTTTATCCTGCGGTGGGGATCAATCGCAGCATTGACTGACGAGCACATGCACGCTTTTGCATGGGAGGCGATGGTACAGTCGACCAGGATAGTAAGGACGCGCGGAAAGGATGCAAGGGCCTTGGAACGCCATGTTGACGTTTTCCGTGCGAAGCGCAGCAGAATGCCGAAGGATGCCGAATACCCAAGGGGCAAGGATGCAAGGGTAGCCTTGGAAAGTTGCCACATCCTGATTATCATGGTTGACTGTAATGCGGAGGCGAGTGCGTCCGACTAAAGCCACACACAGGCAACACATCTCAAGGCATAAGCGGAAACACACTGCATGAATATTGAGAGCGCCAGGATAACATATGCAAGCCGCACGTTAAAGGAAACCCGCCAGCACATGTGCGCACGCATACGCACAATTACACAAAACAGTGCGAGCGCACACCACACACATGCACAAGCAACGCGCACACGGGCACACCCCTCTCTCCCTCCCTCTCCCGCTCGACACACCACACATCACATGCACCACGCGCACACACACAGGCAACACACGCAAACACGCACGCACGCACGCACACGCATGCTTGCGCGCGCCCACGGACACGCCCACGCACGCGCACACACAAACGCACACGCTCACGAACGAACGCATGCACACACCACACACACGCGCGCACACACACACACACGCACGCACACATAAACACAACCACGCCACACACACGCTCACACGCACATACGCAAACACGGACACGGACACGGACACAGTCAGACACACAGACACACGCAACACTCGCACACACACGCACACATACGCACACGCACGCGCCCACACACACACACACTTTTTGTGTCGGCGGCTGGGCGGAGGGTGACTGCTCCGGCGGAGTGACACACACACACACACACGCACACGCACACGCACACGCAGAAGGACGCACACACGCAAACACGCACGCACACACGCACGCACACGCACCCACACGCACCCACGCGCACACACGCACACACACGCACACACACACACATTCGCAGATACCCACGCAAGCACGCACGCACGCACGCACACACACACGCACCCACCCACGCATCCATTCACGCAGCACAACACAACACACCAGACCATTCCAAACTATACCACGCACAAACACACGCAAACGCACGCACAGGGACACATATACACACCCACGCGCATACGCCCACACACACACACTTTTTGGCGGTCGCGGCCTCACGCGCAACGGCGAGGTGGAGTAAACCGAAGACACACGCACAAACTTACCCGCCACACACACCACGCTGACACACTCGCACGCGCGCGCGCCCGCACGCGCCCGCATGCCTGCCTCCCCGCCCGCCCCCAAGCCCGCCCACCCGCCCGCACGACAGCCTGTCCGCCCGCACGCACGCACACACACACACACACACGCACGCGCGCAACAACACACACACAACACACACACCACCCACAACACACACAAAACACAAAACACACAAACACACACACACACGCACATCCATCTACACAAATCTACACACGCCCACGTCCACATCCACACCCACACCCACACCAACATCCACGCGCACTTGCACACGCACACGCACCAACAAACGCGCACACGCCACGCGCACACACACACGCACGCACTCACACACGCACGAACACGTCCACACGCACACGCACACACGCACACACGCGTACACACGCGCGCACACACATCCGCGCACGCACATGCACACACGCACAAGCACAACACAACCAGAAACACAACACACAAACACAACCACTCACGCGCACACGCGATCACGCTCCACACGCGCACAAGCATATACGCACACACGCACACGCATACACGCACACTGACAAGCAGACGCCTACATTGAAACAGACATATAAGCATATTGACGCTCGGCCGCATTGACACACACACACATCTACACAGACACGCAAGCACCCACATACATACGCACGAACGCACACGCAGGGACGCGCGCACGCACACAAACAGGCAGACACACGGACTGAACGACAGGCATACGCGAACATAGCAAACACACAGACGCGCAGACACACGCATACACGCACATACAAACATCACAGACAACACACACAAACACACAAGCACACAAACACACGAACACACACACACACACGCACGCAAGCACGCACGCACGCACGCGCACACCCAAACACACACACACGCGCACACACACAAACGCACACACACACACACACACACGCACGCACTCACTTTTAAATCGGCGGCGCAGAAGGACCCCCGGCGCGGTCGGCAGGTGGAGGTGCCAATGTCGAGCGAACTTAATCGAACGCGCCATGCTGAAAGAGTCCAGTCACGCCCATGGAGATTGGTGAGGGTAACGTGAGGCGCTGTAGTGCCAAAGTGCAGCGGCCAACGAACCCGAGGAACAGAAGCTCGACGCGGGTAGTTTGAAACGCAAACAGCAGTCTGGTGCGAACTGGAGCCTCAAAGAGACAGCAATGGAAAAGAACTGTAAGGATGCCAGACCAGCCAACTCTGTGGCGGTGTATACACGCAAGGAGCTGCGAGATAAAGCAACGCCATCGGCCTCGCAGCGAGCAAGTAACAACTTGGGCGACCGTGCAACAGGGTGCATGAGGTCGGCGTGATAAAGATGAGCGCTTGGCCGAGGCTGGCTTAGCTGTGGACAGCCAAAACAGAGCTGAACGCGGGCGACCACGAGCAGCAGCCGCGAGCGGCGCACATGGGTAATACACAGGCGCGAGCATGGCCGAGCGTGCAATGCATACGCCAACAGTAAAACAACAAACCCCAACCGCAACCAAAGCCGCGAAGGGCTACCGGCGAGGCAGGCGAAAGCAAAAGCAACAAGATGGGGCAACCATCTAGGCCCAAGAGAGACTGTACGCATCACCGCAAAAGGTCGCACTACCCTGACAATATGTCGACAGAGTAAAAAAGAAGACGAGCACAGCGAACCCACCACCGGGATACGCCAACGCTCAAACAGAAGGAGACAGACCCCCACGGTGGGAACGACCCCGATGGAGGAGAACACACGCACGCACAAACAAACGCAGACACAAGCACAAACGCAAGCACAACACCACACAACACAGCGCAACGCAACACAACACCATACCCCACACCACACCACACAGCACGCACAGACACACGCGCAACGACGCGGCAGAACAAGTCGGCCGCACCCACGCACTCACACGCCTCACGCGCGCACGCACACCCGCACGCGCCCGCGCGCCCGCCTCCCCGCCCGTCCGCGGGCACGCCCGCCCGCCCGCCCGCCCGCCGGCACTCACGCACACACACAACACACAACACAGCCGCACACGCCACAGCACAACGCACACACAACACACAACACACAACACAACCGCACACACACGCACACACACACATGCGCACGCACGCGCGCGAGCAAGCACGCACGCGCGCGCACACACACACACATCTACGCACGTCCACATCCACATCCGCATCCACGTCCACACCCCAATCCACATCCACATCCACATCCACATCCACATCCACATCCACACACACGCACACACGCACACACGCACACGCACACACATACACACACACTCCCACGTACACGCCCATACACCCCTCCACACACAAACACACACGCAAACGCATCCCCCCCCAACACACACTCTCACACACCCGCGCGCACACACACACACACGCACACACATACACACACCCCAACGCACACACACACACGCACACACACACACGCACACACATGCACACTCACAAACACTCACACACACGGACACGTACGAAGATACGCACACACAAACACACAAACTCACACACACACACGCACACACGCACACACACACGGACACATACACACACGCACACACATGAACACAAGCAACCACGCAAACGAAAACACAAACACAACAGCACACAGACACACACACACACACGCACACACGCACCAACACGCACACACACACACGAAACGTACACACGCACACACGCACACACGCATATACGCACACACGCACGTACACACAAGCAAACGTACTGACAGAGACACAGACTGACACAGACAGACAGGCAGACACATTGACACACAGCCACAGACACAAACACACACGCACAGACACCACACACACAGACTGACAGACAGACAGACAGACTCAGGCAGACAGACACATAGACAGGCAGACAGGCAGACACACAGACACGCGCACATACACATACACAACACAAACACATACAAGCATACAAACACACATGCATACAAGTACGCAGGCACACCAATACACAAACACACAAGCAGACAAGCAAACACGCAAACAATCACACACGCACACACGCACACAAGCACACCAGCACACCAGCACACAAGCACACACACACACACGCACACACGCACACTCACACACACACGCACGCACACGCGCACGCACAAACATATGCACACCCACGCACACACACAAACACGCACACACACACACACTCACACACGCTTTTGTCTTGGCGGTGCGGCCACTTGCGCACCGACACGGTGGAGTCAACCAGACACACGCCTAGAAGTGCCGCCGAGGCCAACGAAGCGGCCTGGGGCTCTCGCAGCCCAGTGAGGAACACAAGGTTCACCCAAAACCCGAAGGCAACCAGACTCGCACGCACACACATACATACGCACAGGAACACGCACACGCACCCACACCCGCACCCACATGCACACGCACACGCACACGCACACACAACACACAACACACAACACACAACACACAACAGCACAACACAACACACCACAACACACCACAACACAACACAACACACCACACCACAACCCAACTCAACTCAACACAACCAAAACACCACACCATAACACAACACGACAGACGCACACAACACACACAACACAAACACACACGCACGCACGCACGCACACACATATGTATATATGTATGCAGGTAGGTAGGTAGGTAGATAGATAGGTAGGTAGGTATATACTACAACCACGCGCGCGCTTCGCGCGCTTAGATTCTAGCGCAGCCCTAGCCAACCGCACAAGATCGGATGAGGACAGACATCACTCCTCAAGGGTCACCATATGAAAGCGTACTTCCTGGTGGATAATTCAGGAGGCGCTGCATAAGGCTCCAGAAAGTCGCGCAAAGCATCCATGAGAACCCAAGGTAGCCTAAGGGATGATGCCCGGGAGTCCCTAAGAGCCTGACACAACCATGCTGGGAGTCTTTTGTGGATGCCTTTGGGGGACGTTCTTGGAGCGCTCTTAGGTGTTTCTCGGGGTGGGGCATCCCTGGTTTTTGTTGGGGGTCGCCTGGTGGCCTCTTAGAACTTTTTTGGGGCGCTTCGGGGGCCTTCCCAGAGCTCTTGGCATCTGGATTTAAACTGTCGGTTTGGATCCCCGCTACTGCCCCAATCTTCGGGCCGTCTTGAAGGCCTCTTGGGCCGTCGTGGCGGCATCTGGGGCCGTCTTGGCGCTCTCTTGCGTCGCATTCGGGCCGTCGCGGGGACCTCTTGGGCTGTCTTGGTGCTGTCTTGGGGACCTCTCGGGCCGTCTTGCAGCGTTGGGAAGCCGAACCAGCATGAGGGAGGCGTAGACAGGAAGGCGTGACGGAGAGACGAGGGGGAGGGAGGAGGACACGTGACGCAACGGGGAGGAAACAAGCGGAGCGGAATGACAAGGATGTGAAACTGGAGGCCCAGGAGAACCAAGAACAAGAGAGAGAACACAGAGAACGGACAACGAAGGATGGGGAAAACGGCAACACACTCTGGGGCACGGGCGCCAACGCCTGGGACATGAGGAAACGGGGGGTGAGTGGGAGACGGACGATGACGTGGAGCGGGAGACGCAATATAACCAAGCACAAGGGCGAAATCTGGGAGAACGAACAACGAGGGGAAGGGGAGAAGGAAACGCAGGAGGGAGGCGGAGAGACGAAGGCGTGAAGGAGAGACGAGGAAGAGGGAGGAGGGACCATGACGCGGCGGGGAGGAGAACAAAGAAGAGAAAAATGGATATGGAGCGGGAAGAACACACGAATCAAAAACAAACCATCAATACCATAACGGTCAACGAGGGATGGGGAAAACGGAAACGCACTCGGGGGTATGCCAAAGCCTGGGACAGGAGAATACAAAGGGGGGAGGACCTTGAAACCAAACATTGAAGGACATCCCTTTCTTTTCAAGCTGGGCCTCCTAATCCTGAGTGGGGTAGGATGCTGGGCGAGGGCGGCGGAAGGGGGGAAGGATTGACAGAGATATGAGGATGAGGGAGGGGAGATAATGACACGCATGAGGGAAGCGGGGATACGACGGCGTGACGGAGAGACGAGGTGGAGAGAGGATGAGGAAGGTCGCAGCGGGGAGGAGGGAGGCGGAGAGGAAGGGGTAAGATGTGGAACGTGAGACGCAAAACACCCAACAGCAGGAGGGAACGGCCGGGGGGGGTCGACCTTGTCAAAAAAGGTTTGAAGGAATTCCCTTTTTTACAAATTGGCTCTGGGGGCTCCCAAGAGCACCCAAGATCGCCCCAAGAAGCCTCCGTGAGTCCCCCAAGAGCTACGGGTAAGCCCTCGACACATCATACTCATTGAACAACCAAGCGTGGAGGAGAAACGGAGAGGAGGAACGATGGAAACGGACGCGGTGGAGAGAACATAATGGGAGAGGAAAGAAGACGTAGAACGGGAGACGCACGAACAACAACAACAACAAAAGAGAGATCCGGGAGAACAAACAACGAGGGGTGAGGGAGACGGAAACGCATTGGCCCCCCTGGGGAGCCTCGGCGACGCCGTATCAGAGGGTCTCTAGGGATGTCGTTTGGGGGCTTCTGGGGAGCTCGCGGGGCCTCTTTTGGGCCTCGTGGGGGGCTTTTGGGCGCCTCTTGGGTGCCTCGTGGGGGAACCTTGGATGACTCTGGAGCGCTCAGGGGGCCATCTTGGACGGGCCCGTCCCCTGGTAATTTGCTTCTGGAGGGTCTCTTGGGAGCCCCAGGGAGGCTCTCGTCTGGCGTTCCTGGGACCTTTTGGGCCATGATGGGGGCATCTTGCGCTCGAAGACGGCCCAAGATCGCAATGAGTGCCTCAGGGCGTCTGGGGAGGGGGCTCTTGGGGACCTCTTGGGGCTTCCTGGGGGCCTATGCGGGGCCTCTTGGGCCTCTAGGGGGCCGTTTGGGGGGTTCCTGGGGCTTCCTGGGGGCATCGTGGGGCAGAAGGCTTGACATATCCGTTCGGGTACCCCCTCTGGGCCCCCTCTTGGGGCCGTCCTGGGTCCATCATGGGCTGTCTTGGGGGCCTCTTGGGCCGTCTTGGAGCCCTGTAGGAAGCCTCTTGGGCCTTTTTGGGCCGATCTTGGAGGCCTCGCGGGCCGTCTTGGATACTCTGAAAGCTCCAGAGACGTATCTTCTAAGCATTTACGTTTTCTGAATGGGGATGGGGCCATGTTTGCCTCTTGAGGCCCTCTTTGGGGAGCCTCTTGGAGGCCTAGGGGGCTTTTTGGGGGTTCCTGGCGCTTCCTGGGGGCGTCTTGGGGGCAGAATGTTTGAAATATCCGTTCGGGCCCCCTCTTGGGGCCGTCCTGGGGCCTTCATGGGCTGTCTTGGGGGCCTCTTGGGCTTTCTTGGGGCTCTCTTGGGCCGTCTTGGAGTCCTGTGCGGAACCTCTTGGGCCTTTTTGGGGCGATCTTGGAGGCCTCGCTGGCCGTCTTGGATACTCTGAAACAGCTCCAGAGACGTATCTTCTAAGCATTTACGTTTTCTGAAGGGGATGGGGCCATTTTTGCTTTTTGAGGCCCTCTTTGGGGAGCCTCTTGGAGGCCGAGGGGGCTTTTGGGGGGTTCCTGGGGCTTCCTGGGGGCGTCTTGGGGCAGAATGTTTGAAATATCCGTTCGGGTACCCCCCCTGGGCCCCCTCTTGGGGCCGTCCTGGGGCCTTCATGGGCTGTCTTGGGGGCCTCTTGGGCTTTCTTGGGGCTCTCTTGGAAGCCTCGCGGGCCGTCTTGGATGCGCTGAAAGCTCGATCATCTTCTAAATGGGCAAATGTTTGCCTCTTGAGGCCCTGTTTGGGGGGCCTCTTGGAGGCCTCTTGGGGCTTCCTGGGAGCCTATACGGAGCCCTTGGGCCTTCTAGAGGGGCTTTTCTTGGGGCGTCTTGGGGCAGAAGGCTTGACGTATCCGTTCGGGTAGCTCCTCTGGGCCTCCTCTTGGGGCCGTCCTGGGGTCTTCATGGGCTGTCTTGGGGGCCTCTTGGGCTCTCTTGGAGCTCTCTTGGACCGTCTTGGAGCCCTGTAGGGAGCCGCTTGGGCCGTCTTGGGGTGATCTTGTAAGCCTCGCGGGCCGTCTTGGATGCGCTGAAAGCTCGATCATCTTCTAAATGAGCAAATGTTTGCCTCCTGAGGCCCTCTTGGGAGTCCTTTTGGGGGCCTCTTGGGGCATCTTGGGGGCCTCTTGGGGCATCTTGGGGCGTCTTGGAACGACATTTCGGCGACCTCGGGCCGCCTGGGAGCAATTTGAAAGCCTGCCGCGCGTACCGGGGATGGTCAAGAGCCGCCCAGGGAAGGGGCCAAAGGCCGGGTACTGAAGTCAAGGCTTTTCGTGCCCCCAGGAATCCCCTTCTCCGTTATATATATATATATATATATATATATATATATATATATATATATATACATATATATATATATATACATACACACGTGCGCACACATACATACACACACGAGTGCGCCAATACCCACCCAGCATACAGTCGATCACGAGCTCGGTCCTCGGCGCTACGCGGACTTAACCTACCCTCGCTCCGTCAGCTGCTCTCCCCCATGCTCACCCCCGCTCCCTCTCCCTGCCAGGTGGCACGTGCGCGTATGAGACTCCGAGCTGTGTCTGAAATGCGAGAGGAATAATTGTGGGTTGCCACCGGTCATACCCTGCGCATTCGACAGCAAAGCCAGGCTGGCCCTCCGACGGCAACGCGTCATTACTGCAGCAAGTGACACAACCAAGCAAGGAAAATGGCCCGGCGTCGCTCACACGTAATGATTCTAATTATGGACGCCCATCGAAATGCTATCATACGGTAACAACAGCTGGGTAGTATGCCGAACATTTTTTAATGCTGTGTGACCTCATTGGCACGCGGCTCGTGGACACAATCATGTGCTAATCGAGAGGCGCTTGCAAGCCAGAGCATCTTCCAGCTAACGCGCATCGTGAAGACGCGCAGAAGACTAGATTATAGATCCTGCGCTGCCAAATGACATTGTATCTGAACTTCCGTCTGAACGCGTCGTCCGCTACGATGATTGGGGAGTTCTCCGTCGCGAACATGTTGTCCAATTCGGCCACCTGTTCTTTAGCTTCCATGTGTAGAAACCGCTTATCCTGCTGAGTACATACGTTGGAATCGCAGCATGCCTGCCGAGCGAATGGACTTCCAGATGCAATCTGCAACCCTTCTCACAAAAGACTTGGCGATGCTGGACGCAATTTTTAACGTCCATACCTTTTGCGAACATGCCCGCCTGCTACAGTGTCCCATGCGCCGAGAGCATAGTGGCTGGTCGAGCCGACATCCTACCGCATGCCCACCTAGCGCTTACCGCTGTAGACCTTCATCCAATGCTGCCACACCCAGAGGAACATTCACGCATCCCGCGCGCCTTGCTGGGCAGATGCAACCACCTGCGGTGTCTCTCAACTCGAATAATTTTCAGCTGTTCTCGAACCCGCCTCCCCCCGTGCCTCGGGTGGTGGGCCTGTTTTCCACCACCACCACCACGAGTTGGATGGGGGGGAGGAGGTGGAGGATGAGGAGGGGGAAGAAGAGGAGGACCCCCTCTCCTTCCTACTTATGGTGGTGGCGGTGGAAAACAAACCCACCATCGGGCACGCTGGGGCGTGTCAGAACGCGAACTGCATGCCTGGCTGTTGTTGCCCGCCACCGTGCGCCTTGGTATGCTGTGGCGTGGTAGAATGCCACGGACCGTCTGCCATCTCGGAGGGAACGAATAATGACATAAACGTAAAAACTCTGAGGTCCGCGCGGATTTCTCGGATCGGCGGTGCGGCCCCCTGGTGGCGCCTCCGGCGCCGCCCCTGGCGCGCTCCGCGCGCCAGTGAGGGGGGTCGAGCGCCGATCCGAGAAATCCGCGCGGACCTCAGAGTTTTATGTTTTTGCCATTGTTCGTTCCCCTAGTCTACTAGGGGGCCCCATTCCCATACTCTCGCACACAATTGCGTGCATCGCCCCTCTTTACTTTCCAGAAACAAGTGGTCCGCATTCCCGCGGGCGCGATCCCTCTGACAAACACTATGGACCAACGCTCCCGAAGCCACGATCACTAGTACAAAACGTTGGATCTGTGATCCCGAAGCCACGCTGACTTGTAAAATAGAATGGGCCCGCGCTCCCGAAGCCACGAACACATGCAAACACCAATGATTCCGTGCCCTTGAGCTTCTCAAACGCGGCCGAAGCAGACAACCGATGCTGCAACGACAATCCAATATGGCCCCGCGGCGACCCAAGATGGCCTCCAGACGGCCACAGAGTCCCCCAATACGGCCACACGAGGAGACCTATTTGGGCCAGACGGTCCTCTTGGCCGTTGAAGGATCTGGACATCTTCACATGTTCGGCTTCCTACAGCTCCAAGCGCCCCTAGAGGCCACCGGTCCCCAAGACAGCCAACAAGGGTCCCAAGACGGCCTTGGAGAGCCCCCCCGACGGCCGCAAGAGACCCCCCAGGGCAGCCGGGAGGCCACGCGGCCCAAGATACCCCAACGGCTGCTGCACGTGGCCCAAGTGACCCCCAAGATTTCACCACGGGAGCCCATGGAAGGACGGAAGGCACGGAGGAAGACTCGGGCCGGGCGAAAGGGGGGGATAGCAAAGGGGGGGTTTGAGAATCAGCTCATGTAGGTGATTTTGCCGGCGCCTTCCGGCGCCAGAGGCGGCTATGTATCGAGGAATGGGCCCCTCGGTGAGGCCGAAACCAGCTGCAAGCAACAAATTTCGTACCCCCCCCTTTCCCAATCCCCCCCTGTCGTCCGGCCCGAAAGACGGCGAGGGCGAGAGGAGAACTCCCGACGCGACGCAGAGGAGCGCATCGCATGTGAGGTTACCAGCCTGGGACATATCCCTATCCCTATGCTGGGCACCTCCTCATCACGATGCCAATCTTAGGGATTCCCTTATCTTTTGAGGGCGAATCCCTAAGATTGTCATCGCCTTTTGGCGTGTCAATCTTAGGGATAGGGATACGTTCGAGGCTGGTAGTGAGGGCCTCTCGAGCCTCGGAGAACGAGGTGCCGCACGCGACGGCCTCCGGCGTGCGCCCCCGAGCAGGCGCCGCCCAAAGTGTGCGGCGCCTGCACGGTGGAGGGACTTCCCGCAGGCAGCCGGACAGTGCTCTCCGCTCCCCGTGCCTGCCGCCCTCGGCAGGGAGTAGCAGTATCGAAGGGGCCCTGGGACACACAAATAAATACACACAAATAAAACACTTCCCCATATCTTCGTATATTTTCTGGGTTTTTGTCTTCCCCCCCACTTCCCATATTTTCCTATATTTTCCTGGGGATCGTCGATTAATTGTGTCTTTTTTTTTCTCCCCTCTTGCAGTATCAATGGCGCGCCGCCGTTGGGAGGCGCGTGTGCGCGCAGTGCCTGCGAGCGTGCGCGCGTCTGTCGGCGAAGCGTCTAGGGGGCCACATACGAACCCTACCCCTACCCCCCACGATTTCTGAGGGGGAGGGCGGGGTAGGGTTCGCACGTGGCCCCCTAGACGCTTCGCCGCCCAGTCTGGGGGGCACCCCAGGCGGCCCGGATCGGCGGCACTGGCCGAAGGCCACTGCAGCAGCAGTGTCAGTGGCACGCCGCCGTTGGGCGCCCGTCAGCGTGCTGCTCTCTCGGTCTTCAGTTCGATGCCGCGGTGCTTCTTCGAAGTCAGCACGCGGATTGGTTCCCCGCGGCGGCGCGCCATTGATACTGATACTGGTTCTAACCCCCCTCGAGATCCCCCCCTACACCTGGAGACAGGACAAGGGGTATGGTATAAAGGGGCGTGGTGCTCATGTTATGTAAAAGGAGAACCTGGCGCTGGTACTTATCGCAGATAGGATCGCCATTTCCACGATTGGCACCACACCCCTTTATGCCACACACCTTTCCGACCTCCAAACTTTTGCTTTCTGGCGCTCTTCGCAACCTGACGACCGGCCAAGAGTATTGAGATTGACCAGTCGCCAATACACATATCATTCATGTCAGCTATGACTGACATTGGCCGGTCGTGACGACGCCCAGATCTGCCCTGAAAGGTGCCCAAGACGGCCCCCCCCCACACAGCGCCAAGCTCCCTCCAGACGTCCCCGAGGTCCTCACACATGCCCCAAGAGAGCGCAAGAGGGCCACAGCAGCCCCAGACGATAGCCCCATACACATCACGGGTGTATCGAAGAGGCTCATGGGAGGCCCGAGCAATCGAGCAATCCATCTTCCAGCATCTTCTGCTTCCATTTGTTGGCCTACAGGGCAATTTTTAAGACATAGGATTTTTAATACATAGGATTTTTAATACATGCTTAATCTATGGATAAACTTATGCATGAACTCATTTTTGTTTTTAATGCCACATCCCTGCATTTTTAATACATGATCCGCACGCGGAGCATGCATTAAAAACGGCACTGTAGTACGTCATCAGCTTACCCTCAGAGTCGGCCCCAATAACCCCTCAAGATGGTCCGAGGACTCCCCAATAAGCCCTGCGACCGCACCAAGACGTCTTCCTGTCCAAGATTGGTCCACAGCAAGCCACGAACCCCCAGAGGCCCCCCCAAGGCCCAAAGCCCTCCAGCCTGGTTTCCCAGTCTTGTTTCTCAGATTCCTTGGTCTTGTTCCCTGGGTCCCCCAGCCCTTGCAAAGCCAAGCAATACCAAGCACTGCAGAGCAACGCCCAACAATGCCAAGAAATGCAAAGCAATGAACCGCAATGCCGACTATTGCCAAGCAATGCCAAGCACTGCTCAACAACGCCAAGCAATGCCAAGCACCGCCAATACATGCCAAGCAATTCAACGCAATGCCGACCAATGCCGATCAATGCCCCGCAAGGCTAAGCAATGCCAAACAGCGCAAACCATTCCAAATCTACACCGAACACTGCTACGCAAATGTCACGTAACGCCAAATGACGCCACGCATAGCCAGGCAGTGCCAACCAGTGCACACGATGCCGAACAATGCCCAGTACTGCTAAGCAGTGTCAAGCGACGACTCTCGACAATACCAAACAATACCTGGCAGTGCAAGCCGATGCGACGCACAGTCAGGCAAAGCCTCGCCACGCCAAGCAACATCAACCACAACCTTGCATTGCACTGCTGTGCAAGGCTAAGGACTGCGTTGAAGTGTGGTGGGAGGGAAGAAGTCCCCAATTTGGGGGCGCGCCTGGCTCAGGTCCTGCTTCAGACGCATGTTTGCCTCGGGCGTCTCCAGGAAGCCTGTAGAGTGCCCCAAGGCTGCCCCCGAGCGCCCCAAGAAACTGCCAAAACAACCTCCCGAGCACGTCAAAAAAGCCCGTCGGCCACTGACCGCCCCAACAAAACTCCAAAGCCCACGACCCGTCGAGCCGGCCCGGGACGGCCCCAACAGAGCTAGCTCTGCCGGGCCTCTTCGGGGGAGCTCGGTGGAACCACCGCGCCCACGGCAACAACCAAAGAGCGCGCTGGAGCCGTCGGGCGTGCCGTACCAGCATGGCAAAATCATGGTATAACCCTGGTGGACCCAGGGCAAAACAATCCTGAGGCCACCTCGGTGCAACGGAAGCACGTTGGCGGGGTTTGCCGCAAGCAACTGGACTATCAAGCGCAACACTCACCACACATCGACCATGTGCCCGTGACGGTACATACCAACTCTCAAAGCTGCGTTACGTTCCCGACTAGGCTCTCTCCTGCTGTTCAGATCAAGTCGTTGGGCCCACCTGGTTCATAATGACAATGTCGGGGGTCCAAATACTATTTGAATTCGAAGTCACCTGCACCATACATGGCAATGATAAGGACACTGTAAGGGCATGCGAACATACGCTCGTGTTCGTCCTGGGCATCCGCGGCCACAACGCTGCCGTTCCTACCCTGGTGCTCAACTTGGAGATGTCATTGGGTCATGGAAATCTTTCTGGGACTCATTGGTCGTCAGACTTTTTCGCTGCTGCCATGCGAGCAATTGACTGAGCTCTGGGTAGCGCTGATGTGCTCTTACCTCGCATGACTGTTGGACACGCGTGAAGCATGCGGCATGGGACACGGATGAAGCGAACATGCTCTGCTCAACGAGATCGCGAATGGCAAGACACGGACGGCAACGACCTTCTATAACTTGCGGGTAGCTGGCAACCTCTGCTGCAGACCAGCCAGCAAGGGGTCGTAAGATCTCTGCCTTCGGGCCTACCAACCTATGCGCCGATGGAGATCCATTGGGGTGGCCGCCCCCTCCCCCTCCCCCGGTACAATAGACAGAACTTTGAAACACCAGTAGAAGCCGTTTCTCTCCGCACAATCACACGCTCGCCCATCCCGAAGCGTTGGTGTGGAAGAGATCCATGCTTGACGGGGTCTGGCTGCGCGTGTCCAACATGAGGGGCAACGTCGGGTTGGTGGGGACTGGCTCGGGAGGGATAGCATCGAGCTGGAAACGGCGATACATTGCCGATCAATCGGCGATGTGCCCCCGATAGCGAATTCGCACGTTCCTGCGCGGAGTGGGGCTATCGGGCCCCCATCGGCGATGAGTGGGCGACTGGAGGTCGAAGCATCCTCCAGTGAGCGTTGCCCCCTGAACCTGGACTGCCGATCAGCCTCCTCGGTGCGGCTTCGAGGCCTGCGGCGCCAAAGCGGAACACACCAGAAGCTCTCTGGGGACCCACTCAACAAATACGCCACGCACGCCCTCGCTCTCCTGCGCCTTCTCTGCATCTGCCTGTCCGTGTGGAGGGAACCCGAAAAGAGCAAGGCCGAGGGGGAGCGTGAGAGGGGAGACCGGATCCTCCGCCTCCTCCTCCTCCTCCTCCTCCTCCTCCTCCTCCTCCCCAGAGAAAGCATCACAATGGAAGCGGTGATGCATCGTCGACAACTCGGGTGTGCGCCCCAAATAGCGGAACCTCGCGGTCCTGGGCGGGGTGGGCAATCGGGCTCCTACCAGTAGTCGGTGGAGACGGTCGAAGGCCGATGCACCCCCTCCTCGTCCTCGTCCTCGTCCTCGTCGTCGTCCTCGTCCTCGTCCTCGTCCTCCCCCACCAATTCGCGTCGTCTCTGAAGAAAGGGGGGTGAGCCAGGGGCGCGGAAAAGGCCCAGGGGCTCTGGGAGAACGGCAGCGGTCGCGACGCACGACGCAGTCAGGAGAAAGAGCGAGAGAGAGCGAAGGAGAGAGAGAGAGAGAGAGGAAGAGAGAGAGAGAGAAGATAGAGAGAGAGAGAGAGAGAGAGAGAAAGAGAGAGAGAGAGAAGAGAAAGAGAGGGAGAGGAGGAATAGAGAGAGAAGGAGGGCTCCAAGAAGGCTCCAGAGGGCGACGATGGGGCTCCGAGATCGAGGCCCCGGGCCAACATAAGGAGTGCTCGTGTCCGCTTGCCACAGGCAAGCGGGCTGAAGTGGCCCGGGGGCCAGACTGGCCATGCAAGAGAACAGGTCTCAACCCTCCCAGACGAAAAGTTTTAGAACCCCCCAGACCATCCATGAAAGGGCGGCCCTTTGCCCAGACCCCCCCCGAACCCTCCAAGATAGCTCAAATCAGACCCCCCCCCAAATGTGACCCCCCGACTTTATTATGGAATCCGGAGTAAACATGTAGGAGTGGGCGTGTGAAACTCACTCCTGAAGTTCTCGCCGGGCAGCTCGCTTCAGTGGAGCAGGTGCTTATGCTGGAGAAGTGCCTCGGGGAGCGCAGGGTGGGGCCTACCTGCACACGGCCTGGTGATCATGGGCGCCCCAGGGACGCACCTGGCAGAACGTTCACAACACACCAGACCATTGGTCCAGTTCGCCAGATTTGTAGGGCTCGCGGGCCTCTCGGACCCCTTTGGGCGGGCCCCCCCCAGCATAGAAAAAACTGGAAAACAATTCCAACCGTCGGGCACGGCTAAAGCCCCGCACTTCGCGCGAAATCCGCTTGGCCGTCAACCTCGTAATGTCCTGCCCGCGGCCATCACTCCGAGGGAGGCTCGTAGCCCACTCGACACGTCCAAGCTTATCCACATCTGTGAAGGGGAACTGGGACACACAAATAAATACACACAAATAAAAAGATTCCCCACATTTTCCAAACATTTTCTGGGTTTCTGTCTTCCCCCCCACTTCCCATATTTTCCCATATTTTCCTGGGAATCGACGATTAGTTGTGTCTGTGTGTTTCTTTCCCTCCTGAATCTGCCCAATTACCTTTACCACACTGGCGCAGGATCGGCAGCACGAGCCGCATCGTAATGTCCTGCCCGCGGCCATCCCTCCGAAGGAGGCTCGTAGCCCACTCAACACGTCCAAGCTTATCCGCATCTGCCCACTTACCTCTACCACGCTCGCGCGCAGGATCGGCAGCACGAGCCGCAGCGCCGGTCTCGCCGCGGCTGCTCGCAGCTCCCGCGCTCGTTCGTCGTCCGGGAGCCGTCGAGAGTGTCTTCGAGCCCCTCCGCGGGCACACTCGTCCACGAGCTTCTTCCTAATGCCAGCACGAGGGAGGGACTCTTTGTCGGATAGCCTCCGCTTCTGAGGAGGTTGGAAGGCACCCCCACAATAGTGTCCTCGTCCTTTCCGACCTCACTGGCGACGCTCCAGAACTGTGATCACCACTCCGAGTACTGTTCAACGATGCAACCGTGTGGTTCGCCTTTCCTCCCACCTGAAGCCAAATTCTGTAGTCCGTGATGGCCTTGTTGCTGTTCTGGCTCTAGTGCTGGATGGCCTTCGTCGCTGCCCAAAGCTCTGCCGCTCCGCATGTTTGCCAGGGGAAAGGAACGGGTCCAACTGCAACGGCAACCATGTTGCCGGTCTGAACACTCATACAAAAAGCCCATCCACTCCGCGCCGTGAACCCACCCACTGATCAGACAACTCACCGTAATTACACTGATGCCACCGTACTTGGTCTTGGGCATGTGGTAGCAGCTCATGCAGTGGGTCAGGGAGCAGGCCCTTGCACAACTCATAGTGGAAGGATGGTCTTGTCCATGTTCTGTATTTGCCCACTGCAACATCTTTCTTGCATGGCCATACCAGTACTGTCTCTCGCGACAATGCGTCTGGAAGTCCGATGCACGCCCGTGCCCTTCCCCACCTTACATATCGCGCATACATGTGAAACAGCACCATGCACACGATGTAAACGCACTCGGATTAAGACACAACCTGCCAGCCAAGTCCGAAGCAAGCCCGCCCTGCCCTGTGTCCTGCCAATTCACCATCTTGAAGGGGCCCTGGGACACACACATGAATACACACAAATAAAAGGATCCCGCAGATTTTCTCATATTTTCTCGGTTTTTGTTTTCCCCACAACTTCCCATATTTTCCCATATTTTCTGGGGAATGGAGGATTATTTGTGTTTGTGTGTTTCTTACCCTCCTGACATCTGCCCTGCCCTGTGCTTGCTTATCTTCTCTATTGCAGGTTGCAGGATCGGCGGGACGGGAGCTCTTCCATCCCTCAGCTGCCAGGGATCCCATCGAGTAGCCTCCTTTTGGTCGACTGCTGGATCACCTTCTTGAGCGTGGCGGGCGACACCTATCCCGTTGAGGTTGACGATGGCGCCACGCTGGAGGAAGAGAGAGAAGGATGAGGATGAGGATGATAATGAGGAGAATGAGGAGACTGAGGAGGATGATGAGGAGGAGGGGGAGGAGGAGAATGAGGAGGAGACTGAGGAGGAGGAGGAGGAGGAGGAGGAGGAGGAGGAGGAGGAGGAGGGAGAAGGTGGGGGAGGCGAGGAGAGGAGGAGGAGGAGGAGGAGGAGGAGGAGGAGGAGGAGGAGGAGGAGGAGGAGGAGGAGGAGGAGGAGGAGGCTCTCTCCCGACCGCTGCAGCAGCGCAGGCCGTCGGAGTCACCGGGAGCATCTCGTACGGCCTGCCGCGGCTCGACGAGGCCTGGCAAACGGACGGCGCGGGGCACGGGCTCTCTCTTGGCCGTGCAGCGGCTGCAGCGCTGGCGACGCGCGAAGAGGAGGAAGAGGATAATGAGGTGAAGGGGAGGAGGAGGAGGAGGAGGAGGAGGAGGAGGAGGAGGAGGAGGAGGAGGAGGAGGAGGAGGAGGAGGAGGAGGAGGAGGAGGAGGAGGAGGAGGAGGAGGAGGAGGAGGAGGGAGGAGGGGAGGAGGAGGAGGAGGAGGAGGAGGAGGAGGAGGAGGAGGAGGAGGAGGAGGAGGATGATAATGAGAATGTCAGTTCACTAAGTGAGAGGAAAAAAGGGCCTTAAATGGGGGAGAGGGGCTTCCTCCTCGGGTTGGCCTGTCGGCAGGCCTGCTCGGCCTTGCTCAAGACCTTCGGCCACTGTCCCGAGTGGATCCTCCTCAGATATTCAGCCCCCGTGTTTGTGGCCTTCTTCGAACAGGGTTCCTGGATGGCGGACTTGCGCTTGTTGGAAAAGGATCCACACACTCCACAGAACCACAAACTTAAACGCACGCTTAACATTAGTTGGTGGGTCTCGTGCGCCCAGCCCCCCCGCGAGGTGAAGCTTCTGCTTAAATGGGAGCCTACAGAAATCCCCATTCACGTTCAGAGGCTTAAAGCAGGGGGAAAGTTTCCATTTGGTGGCCCGAGCCTGGATAGCAGAACTGAAACACCTGGAACAGCGAAGACCCGAATCATCGAGCACGTGCTGGGACCCCATTGTGGCTACTACAGACTGGGCAGGCGGAGTAGGGGGAGGAGGAGGTGGAGGTCCCGCCTTGCTCTTCACCCCCGTCTCGGCCTCAGCTGCCAAGACGTCCAGCGAGGCTCTCAGAAGCCTATGCCGTACCAGGTGTGCTCGTCGTTCGACTTGTAGCACTTCATGTCGTACTGCCGCTGGAAGTCGAGCGGCCAAGGCTGCATTCTTCACCAGCTCGTCGATGATAGTATTTCCAACCACTAGCCACGATTCAGCACGATGGTTCATGACATCCTCGGCGGTGAGGTGTGAGTTCACGAACTTGACCTGCACTAATCCAGGTGACCGATGCATAAGTAGTTGGCCGATGCGGGCTCATTCGTCTCCGTCTTCTCCTCTGTGGTGTAGATAGGCCTTAGAAACCCAGCCCTTGTATACATCCTCACAATCCGTCACATACAAAATGGGCCCTTGACTGGCCCAGATGGCTAGCCACAGCCCCCGAAGCTCGCCCCGACCAACAACCTGTCGAGGTCCTGTCAACGGTCCAGTGATGAAACGCTCGACCTGTGGGTCGACGTAGTTGGCGACAGTGGCGATCCCTAGCGCGACCCTCCGTAACCTGCTGTCTGCAGTATCTGGGCCACCACTTGCATCTCCGAAAATGACTGTGGGGTCGGACCCAGTGCCCATGGGCAGACATCCTTCAAACACACCGTCATTCAGACCACCACATGTCCAAGAATGTTCCTGCGGGGGCTCAGGGGTCTTGGTCCAAGCGGCTGGTATAAGACCCCTGTGCCAGAAACAAGCGTGCATCTCGTGCTGCATTCTGGCCTCCCCCTCGAGACACTCGCTGTTGGTATATGCAACTGCACCTCTATCATGAGAGCAACTCCAGTACCTGTGATATGAAGTCTCGGGACCTTCCCCGCAACGGTCGCAGTTCACATTGAAATGGCTGTCCTGCTGCGCACTCCGTCGTGGTGCACTCGACGCCCCACTCTGATAGGGCTGACTCTCGCCGATGCTCAACTCGATGTCCTCGAACGGGTCGTGGTTGCCGCTCATATTGGTGGCCACTGGTCGAACTCCCGATGTCGTCATCTGCTGATGCACATCGCGGCTCGTAGGCTCACCTGAAGCAGCGCCCGAGTGGCCAGCATCGGACGACACTGGACACGCGCGCCCTGGGGACTTCAGCTGACCCACCTTCCTAGCCATAGGCCAGGCAGCACCGATCGCGATGTTCAAGAGCAGGCCTGCAAGACGCGGTCCCCCAGGTCGCGCACCTCGGAGCTGTTGGAGTAGTCGTCGGAGAGAGTACGTATCCAGACCTTGCCCCAAGCCGTCTCCGTCGTGGTGAAGCTCGGCTTGTTGCCAGAAAGGAACCATCGCAGCGACCTTCACCTCGTCAATGAACTCTTTGAAGCTATCCAACGCTGGAATGCCCGTGAAGTTCTCATCTGGGAATTCCCATTTGAAATCTCCAGGCGGCTCCCATGACGTGGGGGTCCTCGGGGCCCATCCGAACCCCAACATGTAAGAAATGATGGCCGACGTCGGCCCTCGTATATGCCGGCTGCGGGATGCCTCTGGGATACTCTCCATCTTGGCCCTAACCTTGGGCCATGCGCGAAGAACTGCGGCTCGAAGTTGGGGCTCATCCCTCCATTGCTGCAACCATAACTCAAAAGTACCTGCTGCGAGCTTCTCCGCTGGGTCGAGATTGGGAGCTTCAATTGCCAGGAGAGTGGTCAAGCACCGCCCTCGAGTCTTGCCACAACATGCGGCCCCAAGACTGCGCCAATATGCCGTAAGATGAGACCCCACCACTCCGTGTAGTTGATACCCATAACTCCCTGCAGCTTGGGCCCCTTGACGCTCCAACTTGGAAGTCAGGCGGGATCTCCGAATAACTCGAGTGTAGCGGACCACCTTTTTGTTCCGAAGAACATGCCTGGCGTTCCGCTTCGATCGTTGCTCTCGAGCATGCCGACGCCCTGCACCCAAATCCACCCCTAAGTAGGAAGACTGACGGGCTGCAGATATGGAGACACCACGGAGTCTCAGAGCTCTGACCACCGCCTTCGCGTCGCCATGATGAGAGCACATGACCACTGACTTAGAAGCAATAGACAGCCTCTGAGTCCTCAGTCCTGCTGCCGTAGCCGAAATACATTTGATGAGGTTCGATCGCACTTCCTCTCGCGAGCCCTTAGTGGCCTGCGACAGGTCGTCGATCCACAAACGATGGCTGCACCGTACCTGAGCTGTGCTGATACGCTGCATAACGTAGTAAGTCATGATCCTCGCCAGCCTCGTCCCCGATCTGAGCCCTTGGACAATGCTCTGGGTGGGCTCGAAAGGCTGCGAGAACGCATTCAGCTGGCTGAGCGTGCGTGGTGCCGCACACTGAGAGAGTTCGAGAAGTAGTACAGTCGGTGGGAATTCCAATATGATAGCTGCTCGCGCCAGTTTGAGCCAGTACATGGTGTCATAAAATGAGCTGATGTCGGCCAAACTGTGACCGTATGGAATGGCGAGAGCTGAGCACACTTCCTCGTCAAGCACGCGCCGAGACGCCTCTTGTAGGGCGGAGTTTCCCCGAACAGCGGCGTCCCAGCTCGGGGCGGTGGCCTCAGTCCAGGATTTCACCCATGGTTCTCTAGCTTTACTCCAGACTCTCCCAATCGTAAAAAACCAGCCCGATGACCCGATCCCCAGACAGCTTTTTGGGGAGAAGTTTCCCAATAACCACCATAGTCTGGATCGGCCAAACTCCCAGCTGTTCGATCGTATTCATAATGTTGGCGAGCTCTTGCAAGCCGACGTCGGGGGGCCTCTCGAGGTCGCACGGCGTGAGCTTGTCCACGCCCAGCCCCGTCGAGGGCCGCATTCCTCTGAGGGCCTGCCGAAGGTCGTGAACCTGGAGCTCAGGAAGGGCCTCCGAATCACGAATGGCCTCGCGGATGACCCCCAGGACCCCGTCGAACAAAGCCTCAGGAGTACTGACAGGGGGAGCCCACAACTGGTGCCATTTGCGAGCCTTGAAATCCACAATATCCTTGGGGTGGTAGACAAGAGAGTGGTTATCCCAGAGCTCCTGGGCTGGGATGGGGTCCTGGCGCATGGAGCGGTGCAGGCAGCCGGGCGCCTCCGAGGTGACCGCCCACTCCCTGAACTCGCGCAGCGACTCGGCCACTGCACGACGCTGGGCCCGACGCATGATCTTACTAGAATCCTTAGCAAGCCTCTCGAGTAGTGGGGCATCGCATTCACCAATGGCCAGCAGCACCCGAAGCCATTCAGACCAGGCAGGTTCCAAGCCGTCCCGTACAACACGGTGGACTTGGTCGGGCCTATCTCCAAGAAGCTTCAAACATGCCTTCTCCAGCCTATGACGCTGCAACACTCCATTCCTCCTGGCCAGGTGGCGAGCTAAGGAGTTAATGGCGGTGTGAAGCCGAGTCCACCACCCAGCAACTAGATCACGTAGAGGGGCGACCCGAACTCTGTCATTGACCCGCGCCTCCTCGACGACGAAATACGGACACTCCGATCGAGATGGGCCAACTCGGGCCTGCTCCCCATGATGTTGGTAGATGGACCCCTCGACAGCCTGCGCCCAAGACGCGTAAAGCCCACTCACGATGTTGGAGCCCTCTGGGTTGGCCTGGTACACGGCGGAGTCGAACAGGTAAGGAGGGAGGGGGGCAGGGGGGAAACTGAAACGCGCTACCGAGGCTCGCTGGGCCTCCCACACCTCCACAGGAATGGCAAAATAAACTGGGTCACCAGACGGTCTCGCGGGGGGCTGGGCCGAATTATCCTGCAGCGCCCCCTGGTCCTGGGACGCAGAATCGCTAAGCCCGCTAGGCCCCGCGAGGTCAGCCGAGACCCCAAGGTCCCCAGGGCCAGAGCCAGAGCCAGAGGTCGGCCCCAGGGACCTAGGACCAGGGTCGCCAAGCTGCGGTTCAACGTGCGAGCTTCCAGCTCCCGACTGGCCTCCGAGGGCACTGTCGGGACAAAAGTTAAGCTCATGGGGCCAAGGGTCCTCTTCATCAAAAAGATCTAGATCGTGCAAACGGTCATCAGCCTCAACCAGTGGCCCCGAGGCCCCCGACTGTGGCTGGTCAACCTTTTTACTCGGGGCAGCGGCCTCCAGAGCATCTCCGAACAGTTCTGCATAGCGGGCATCTCGCTTGATGACGCTAGCCTGCACAGCGAGCGCCCTCTCAGCGCGTGCCTTGCTCGACTTGGACCCCACCGTGGGTTCGACTCCTGGCCGCGGAACTTGTGGCAGTCGAACTGCGACACTCATGAGACGAGTGAGTAGCTGTTCATCCTTCTGCCTGAAAGAAATCCTAAGGCCAATGTGCGTCTTCCACGGTACGTCCACTATCGGATCCACTCTGCGAGTGATCCCAATCGCGCTGGTGCTGCACAGGAGATAATCGATATGAGACCCTTTCTTGCCAGCATCGCATGTGTATTCCACTGGAGCCGTCGCAATGTGGGCTCCTAGCTTGGACACGAACTGAGAATGGAATAAGGCAGCAACTGAAATGTTGAAATCGCCGACAACGATCCACGGTAACTGGAGCGCTCGTAGTAATCCTCCGAGTCGTCGATACCGAATAAGGTTCTCCCCCGAGAAACCAATCCCACTCCAGCCATAGAAACTAATGAGGACGAACGAAAACCCTCGCATGTGGACCACAACTGGCACCATGCCATCTAGTTGCTGCGAATTCTCCTGCTTGAGGTCGGGCATGTTAGCTAGCTCGAGAGAATGAATTCTGAGGTGGCCCTTGGACAAGATCCACTCACCCCCCTCATTCGCCCTCGCTTCACGCCCTTCGGCGACCTGTCGCTGCCGTGCCGCGCAGCGAGCTGCATTGGGGAACAACCGAAGCCCTTGACTGCGAGCCTTGATGTCCCACGACTTGGTGTCATCTGCGTTGACATGGGTCTCGACGAAGGCGAACATATCTGTCGTCCGTCTCTGCTGTGCTACCCATTGCCAGACTTTATCACTCATGCACGTAACGTTCCCGAAGTTGAGAGTAGTAAGTGGCTCCCCATCCTCATCGTCATGACTCGACTGCGAGTCGGATGTAGATGGCCCAGCCGTCGTAGAGGAAGGAGGAGAGGTGGAGGGCCCTTGCACTTCACCAGGTCCCCGAAAAAGGTGCGGTGGTCCAGGCGCCGTGCTCGGGATGGAGTAATCAGGAAGGCCATGACATCTATGTGGCGCCTGAGCTGGCCTCCCATGAGACTCAGACGCACTCGTTGATTCTCATTCAGAATGTGCTGTGTAACCCTTGCCCCCCGCCTTGGCCGACTCCCCTTTGCCCATGGCCTCGGCCGCGACGAACTTGGCTCGGGATAGGCGCTCGGCCTCGGCTCTGACAGCCGCAGCGCGAACCTCCTTGGCCTCCTTGGTCTCCGAGTCCTCCTGGTTCGTCGCCTCCGAGGTAGCCTGCCCAGGCGCTCCAGGGGCCTTCGTCGTCTGCTGCGGGGGGGTCGCGTCCTTCTTCTCCTCCTTCTCGACGCCACTCGGGGTGTCAGACTCCCTCTTCTTCTTCATCCTCTCGGCGACGGCTTGGCGCAAGTCCGTAGCCTTCTTCAGCCACTCTTTGACCTGCTCTTCGCGATTGGTGAGGAGGTCCTTGGCCTGCTGAAGTTCAGATTTCAGCTTCTCCATGTCACCTCGCTTGGACTCCTCAAAATCCTCCAAATTGTCGAAGATAGTGGCATCCCACGACAAATTGAATAACCCAGACTCGCTTCCATTCTTGGGACAGAAGTCGGCCTCGGCGACGCCTTCAGCTCGGGCGAGACGTTTGGCCGCCGCTTGCTTGCTCAGCGTGGCCTCGGCGAGGGCAGTGGCAGCTGCCATCTCTTTGTCCTCGGCGGCGGCGAGCTGTTGCCTGAGCCTCATGACTGACTTCACCGACTGATTATGCTTGTGTTCTGCGTCCCTCCATGCTGAATCAGCCCGACAAACTGCCTCCGCTGCAGATTCTTCCCAAACGGGCTCCTGCTGCTCACCCTCGAGCTTGGGCAACTCCGCCTGCAGGGTGTCGCGCAGCTTCGGGTCCGTAGCAGCGGCGATGGCATTGACCAGGAGCTCCTTCACCGATGGAGCCTTGGTCGTGCCCTGTGCGACAGATCCCTTCAGAATAGACTTCCCAGGTTTCAGCAGCTGGTTCTTGCCGATATCGAAGGAGACACTCTTGGGGGACTTGGACCTGGCTCTGTGGAGGCGGACTTGCTGCCCACACTTCTGACAAACTCGGCCGTTGCCCTCAAGGATGTGATTCCATTCGCATGTTTTGCAGCTGGCGCACCTGCTCCAGGTCCTGGAAGAAAAACCCGACATGGAACGACTGGAACTGATCTCGTCTGTGTACTGCGATACTGCGTCCTGCTTAGCCAACGCGGTAGCGAACCCGATCGCGCCCGCGATGCCACTCAAGCACCACGCTGAGGTGCAGGACTGGAACTCTGGAGGTGTGGTGGGTAGGTGTGAAGGAAAGGGTACCCCAGTCCCCGCCCCACCTGCAAGAGCCCCAATTGCTTGAGGAGGAGGAGGAGGAGGAGGAGGAGGAGGAGGAGGAGGAGGAGGAGGAGGAGGAGGAGAGGAGGAGGAGGAGGAGGAGGAGGAGGAGGAGGAGGAGGAGGAGGAGGAGGAGGAGGAGGAGGAGGAAGGGAAGGCAGAAGCTGCGGGCCTTCTCGGCAGGCTCGGGAGGCTCCGGCTTGCCGAGGCGCTCTCCGAACCTTCTCCGACCCCGCAAAAGGGCTCCTCGGAATGCCGGGAGGCTTCCGCGAGGCCCCGCCGCCCTCCGAGGAGGCCTGCCGCGCCGGCGAGACACCTGCGACTGGTGCGGCGGCTGGCTGCTCTCGCTGAGAGGGGCTATCCGTCGACCCCTATCCCAGGGTTCGAGGGGCTTTCTCGAATGGGCCTAGGATTTTGGGCCAAACTCGGGGATATACGATAGTGACTACCTACCAGACCACTCCAACCCAACCCGAAGACCCGAATTTCGGGTTGGGGGGGGTAAGGGTTCCACATGTGTTTTTTCTCGATGTTTCCCGACCCCCCCCCACTGGAAATCGATGGTAAATCTGAGCCTTCGGGTTGGGTTGGGGTGGTTTGGTGGGTGGTGAGATAGGGGGGCCTACATCCTCGATAGGGGTGCGTCCGAGCAGCCCCCTGGGAGTGCATCTCCGAGTTCCCCTCCTATCCTGAACGGCTCGACATTTCATGGGGACGTCGGGGGTTGGGGGCGAAGTAACATCTGCGACTTGCCGCTGTCGGCGGTGAGCCCGGGAGGAAAGTGAGAAGGAGAAGGCGTTCTCAGAAGGCCAGGAAAGCCCCCCCGGCCTTCTGCCAAGTTTTCGAAGCCTCCCCCGAGGACACAGAACACTTCTCAGAAGGCGCGAGGGCTGCTGAGAAATCCCGCCGCCTTCTGAGACGGCCTTCTCCTTCTCGCCTCCCCCCCTCGCTCGCCGCCGACAAGACGACCTCAGCAAACGGCCCGAGTCACAAAACCGTGTGGCCACCCCGACTCCCCACTGACGAACCAATCGTGGGCAACGAAAGGAGTGTCCTCAGGTCCCTGAGAGTCCTCAGTTTGGGCCGTGAGGGTCCTGGACCCCCGAGTTCCCTTAAGTCGAGCGCGTCCCCCTACAGGGGGATTTTCGACGGAACAATAAACATACTCAACAAATTCTTCGAAATTGTAAAACATACTAAAACATCCCCATATTATTGTTGGACTATTTTTGAATAGTTTATTCTTGTAGAGGGACAGGCCCGACTTCAGAGTTCCCCGACACCTGGGAAGCGTCTTGGAGGACCCGAACGTCCCCCCATCGCTCCACTCTCTTGAGCAGGGACCGACCGTCCCGGCATTCCTACAGGCCTACCACGACAGGTCCTCAGAACCCAAGAATGTCCTAACACACACACAAAAGCAATTTTCTTAGGACGTAAGCCCGATGTGCTAAAGCAAGACAGTCCCAGCCAGACACGTTCTTAGCACATGTCGTGGAAACCACAAAAACAGTTCTTGGAACATTGTTTGGTAAGCCTCTATAGGCACGCCAGGACGCTTCGCCACTGCTCGAGTCTTTGAGGACCCAGGCGTCGCCCCCTCGTGATGGGGTTTCCACCACCACCACCACAAGCTGGAGGGGGGCAAGGAGGAAGAGGACGAGGAGGAAGAGGAGGAGGATGACCTCCTCCCCCTCCAACTTATGGTGGTGGTGGTGGTGGTGGGAAACAGGCCCAGCACCTCGCTTTCCAATCTCGCCATCGCTCGGACGAGCCCTTTCCCCGTGCACCTCCCGGCTTCGTGCGCGCTTTTCTTGCGCCGAAGGACCTCGCGTGCTCCTCGACGGCCCCCGCCGACACCGGTGCACGCGCCCCGGCGATGCCGGGACACCTGCGGCTTGCTGCCTGGAGAGCCCAGAATCGCATCGACAGGTCGGATCGGCGACGGGAATCGCATCGGCGGCCACCAGGAGCCGAGGCGGGAAACATCGGATGGCGGAAATTGGCAGGCCAGTGTGCGTCCAATAAGACATAGGAGGTCCCAAATTGGAATCCCGAGTCGCACCGACTCGGCATCGGAAGCCACCGAAGTCGAATCGAATCGGGTCGAAGGACTCGAAATGAGCCCTGTGCTTGGCGGTGCGCACAAGGGGGGTAGGGGGAGGGGGGAAAGGCTTCCTAGGAGGCCGCTTCTTAGAAGGCGCGGGCCTTACGTCTACAGACACCGGGCATGTCCCCCTACGGGCGGGCTTTGGACGAACAGTGAAAACAGGGTCGAACAGTACTCCAAACAATCATCAAGCATACTCAGAGCATCGCCCCCGGACTACTTTGTGTCTGTTCTTGAACTCCCCCCTGTGGAGGGACACGCCCGACCTGCTGGCGCACCGGGCCCAGGCCATCCAGCCCTCGCGCCTCGCGACGGGCGGCGCGCGGCCCCCCCCCCCCGGGCCCCTTGTCGCCGCAGGGCTACCTCGCGCCGCCCCCCCCCCCCCTCCCCAAACGACGCGAAGATCGGGACAACATCGGATCGGGATAACTCGAAATCTCTGAGAATCGGCGGGCTTGGAGGATATATTGGGCGCCGCGGCCGCTCCAGAGCGTTCCGGAACGCTCTGAGAGCGCTCCGGAACGCTCTGGAGCGATTTATCCCGATCCTAGTCCTGTTTTACCCTCCCCGGGCCGCGACGGCACCCCTCTGCGGGGGAAGCTGCTGTTGGCGCAGGACGAAGCCGGCCGGCCGCTGCTGCCCGCCGGCCGCTCCTCGTCGACTTCTTCGGCGTCGGGGCGTCCCCCCTTCCTCTCGGCCTCCGCCCTGCCTCCTTGCACGCCGGCCGATTCGCTGGCTAGTGGCCCTACCTGGCTGTTCGCTGGGGCGGATTTCGCAGCCTCGCCGCTGACGGACAAATCCCGCAAGCCCTCTGGGCGACAGGTGGTCTAACGATCTCTTCCCTTCCTCTTCTGCAATCCCTTCTTCCCCTTCGGGGGGTAGCACTGCTCCCTAAAAATAAACACCCCCTCCCCCAGGCGACTGGTAGGCAAACCAGAACCACGCGGGCCCCCCCCCCACCATCCCCTGTAACAAACAATGCAAAACACACTCTGCCTCCAAATTCGGAGCATGCGCAGCCAACCCGATGCGGCCTCCCTCCACCATCCCTGCCAAAAAAACAATACAGAGTACACTTGGCGGCGGCGGCGGCGGCGGCGGGCAGCGGCAGCGGCAGCGGCGGCGGCGGCGGCGGATCGGCCCCTAGTAGCTTCCCATCCAAATACGACTGCTGCATATGCTGAAGCTCGGGCCAGACTCGGGTGCTACGTATGTGTTGGGAGGGCGGGTGGGAGTGAACGAGACGGCTTGTGGGCGGTGAGGGAGTCTTGACCCCTACCCCTGACCCCTCCCCTGGACCTGGACGGGGCGCCCCGCGATGTGTCAGAGGGCCCTTTTTCGCACAAGATGGCCCCAACAGTGCCTCTCAGAAAATCAAAAATTGTCTTCAAGATCGCTCAAAATAACCCGACATGGTTCAAGCCAGCTTCCGACATGCCTCCAAGACGCCCCAAGGGGGCCACAAAACGGTGCCAGGTGCTCGTGGGGACCCCTCAGGAACCCTCCAGGAGCCTCGAATCAGGCAAACACCCCAGGACAATTCATGTTTTCTACCTTCTCGCCGTTTCGCTTCCGATGCGTTTTTGAGGCCTCAACATGGTCCTAATATGGCCCAAGAAAGCTCCAAGAGGGGTCTAAGAGGCCCTCAAAACGGCCCCACGAACGCCCAGGATCGCCCCCAAAACGCCCCAAGAGGGCCCCAAGAGGCGATTTTGATGGCCCCGGAAGGGGCGTGGCAAACCGAGGACCCCCCACTTGATCGATGGTCTCCGAAACGGCCCCAAAAGGCGCTCCAGGGCTCCCGAGAGAACCCCAAGAGGGCTCCAAAAGGGTCCCAAGAGGGCCCCAAGAGGGCCCCAAGAGGCACCCGAGATGCCCCCAAGAGGCCCCCGAGCAGTCTCAGAGAGCCCAAGATGACCTCGAGTATGGCTCAGATAGCCCAAGCTGGCTCAAGATGGTTTCTACAGTGCTCAAAACGGCCCCAAGACCGCTCCAAGAGAGCCCCAAGAAGCGGTTTGCGGGCTCCAGATGGGGGGAGCTGAGTTGGGGATCCCCCCATCCTGTAATCGATGGCTTCCAAGATGATCCCAAGAAACTTTCCAGGGTTGCAAAGAGGTTTCCAAGAGGGCCCCCCGAACTCCCAGAGAGCACCAGCGGCAGCGGCCGCAATAATACCTCTAGATGGTTCCATGCGTCCCCGTCCGCGTCGTCCTCATCTTAGTCCTCGTCCTCCTCGTCCTCGTCCTCGTCCGCGTCCTCGTCCCCCTCGCCCTCCTCGTCGTCGTCCTCCTCCTCCTCTTCCCCTCGCCCCCACGCGGCCCCCAGGGATGGCCCGAAGAGGCCTCCCAAGGCCACCCCCTTGCTCCCAAAGATCTCTCCGTTCACCCTGGTTGCTCGCTGTGTTTCTGTAGATGTGTCTCTTCGTCCCTTTTTCCGTCAGCTCTCATGGGCAGGGCTTCTGAATGGGCTGGTGGGGATATTTCTGGGTCGCGAGCGCCAGCGGTACAGCCGCGCGCCGTCAGAGCGAAGCAACAATGCACCGGCCTAACTTACGCACTAAGCGCACAGGAGCGAACTACGCTGCGGCTCAGAAAGCGCGGAAGACGAGGAACGGCTCGAGGTCAACGTGCAGCGCCAAAATGGCGATGAGCAGGAAACCGACGAACTCGAAGACCGCCATGACCCAACCGGAGAGGACGACGAACGGGCGTGCAGGCGCTCAACGGAAGGGTTCCGGGTCGCCAGGGGTGGGAGCGTGCCAGCGGCGGAAGCGCCACTACGGCGGGGGAGCAGGGGAAGCAACGCCAGGGCAACACAGGGGCAGCGAAGGCGACGAGCCAGCGGAAAAGGCCACGCCCTGTGCTGGAGGCGGTGGCGCCCAAGCCAGGGGTACAAGCCAACCCTGGGAGAGGGCGACGTGGGGGAGGACCAAGCGTCCGCCAACCCCGAGCGGGCTGGGCGGCGACCTCAGGCGAGTCGCAGGCCCGAGAGCCCATGGATGGGGCTAGCAGGCCAGCCTCAGGGCGCCCAGAATGGCCGCGGAGAGAGGAAAAGCTGCAGCCTGGCGCCCAGGGTCAAGGGAGTTTCCCGGCGACTTCATGCGCGAGGCTGGGGCGGCGGGGAAACCGTGGGAGGCCGACGCAATGCGAGGGTGCCCCACCCGCAGAGCCTATCTACAGAAAGCGAAGGGACTCACCGAGGACGCTGGCCAGGGCGCGAAGGGCCGAGGGGGTTTCCCTGCGGCCTCGCGCGCCAGAGCGGTGCCGCCGAGCACCGACTGCGAGGATGGTGGGGATACTTTTTGGTCAGCGGCCTCATGAAGCTGGTCAAAAGGCGTCCAAACTGGTGGGGATATGCAAAGCGTGAAGAATTGTGTAAGACGAAGCCAGGATGAGAATCAGTTCGGATTAGGTCAGGCATGTCCCCCTACAGGCGGATTTTGGAGAACTATAAATAGCCAACAGATGCATCAAAATAGTGATCAACCATACCAGGAAAATCGTCCCCAGACGATGTTTGACTATTTTTGAAAATTCCTCCTGTAGAAGGACATGCCCGACTTACAATTCGGATGATGACTGCTCGAGAATCTCTGAGATCCGGTGGTTCTGGAAGATGCATCGGGCGCCGCGGTCTTCTCAGAGCGTCCAGGAGCGCTCTGAGAGTGTTCCAGAACGGGTTCATCCTCGTCCCAGCCCCGCCCGATGGTGGGCCCGAGCTGGGTCGCGTCTCGGCACCGGATCGGATACGAATGACGGGCCGCTAGCGAGTCGTCCCGAATCGAAGCGAAATCGGATCGTCACGCCTGGCTCAGGCTGGCCCCAACCGAAATCGAACCGAATCGAATCGGAATGGCGGACCCGGCCAGCGAATCGAATCGCCTCGAGTCGGATCGCATGCGGCCCTGGCTAGCGGGGACAAGCTCGCAACGCCCACACGTGAAGCAATAGGACGTGGGTTTAGGGTGCCTGCTGCGAGTCTTCCAAGAAAATGTGTGAGACAAATGTGGACTCGACGATGAGAACAAGCTTGCGAAGTGTGAGAGGGGTGGGGAGAATTATTAAAGGAACTATGCACGCAATGTCGCACCGGGAAACTGGAACAAGTGTGAACGTTGAAAACGGCCGAACGAGCATACCACCACAACTACTGTAACACAAACGTTTGGACATCCGAAATGGGTACGGACAAACTAGGTACGATACCCCACAGCGACTCTTGTCCGAAACTGACAGCGGCCGCCGTTGGCCAGGCCACTTTGTGCCTGCAATGGCTAACGACCGCGGCAGCACCGACAGCGAATCCTGTTCGAAGTAGACAAGAGCTGCTGTTGGACTTCGTGCCCACTCTTTCCGTGCCCATTTCGATCGTCCCCAAGCTTGGCCAAACAGGAACCGAAGCTGACAGGAGACTACGAGCGGGGCCAGACGCTGGCCAGGGCTGAGGCGGAAGTCGGCGACGCGCCTGTGGGGGGGAAGGTCGAAGAGGCGGACCTTCGCAACTCGCAACTTGCTCAGACAGCCTCTGGCTTTCTGCGAACCTTTCTGAATCTTCTCCGACGCCACGAGGGGGCTTCTCAACACTGGCAGCGCGCACAAGGGGGTATAGGGAGGGGGAAGGCTTCCGCAAAGGAGGCTGAGGTGCGGGCCTGAAATCTACCGACAAGGCCCACGCCTTCTAAGAAGCAGCCTCCTTCTCAGAAACCTTTCCAACTCCCCCTGCCCGCCTCTGCGCGTGGCTGACAAAAAGCTGGAGGGCTTCTGAGAAGCCCCGCCGCCTTCTGAGAAGGCCTGCCCCCGCTCACTTCTCCCCTCCGCCCGCCTCCGAAGAAGGAATCGAAACCGATGGGAGATCCCGACAAGGGCCATAATCTAGCCAAGGATGGAGAACGTGGAAGGACCAGTCTTAACACGATTTCTCAACCTCCCTGCAATTATGGCGACGACGATGAAATTCGGAAGGCGCGCCGTGAGCCTTGTCCGCCCTTGGGGATTTCTTGGTGGGCACAGGCGCAATAACAGAAAAGGCCTGCGATCGCACACCGCACGCAACTCAACGCTGCAAGTGCCAGGCCCCTGGATACTGCGAGACTCAGGCGTTGCTAAGGTAGCGAAGGGATCGCGGCATAATCACTTCCTCTGGGCCCGAATGAACACCCATAGTGCTATCACCATCCCAATCGTCCAGCAAACCGATGCTATGCGGTCTCACAAGGCCTCTCTTGAACTGCACCTTCCATCATATGGCAGGTTGTCCAATGAGACAAACACCCCGTGACCAATATGACACATGTTTGCTGTTGCATCATATTGGCCCAGCGAGCAGAATGGCCTGCGACGGCTGGTGCGAGAGCCTCTCATCGGCCCAGCACAGGACTAGGTCAAGGACCAAGTTCACTGTGCCAGCAACCTCGTCCAGGCCCTGAACAGTGTGGTTGGCGCGCCATCCGCAGAACAAAGGCAATGATAGGAGGACGAGGAATGATGTAACCGAGGGCATGAGAAGACAACTGGGAACATAGTCCACGACGGCCCAACGAAAACCAAATCGCTGGCACCACGGACCAACGGCGTGGCAGACGTGGGGATGGGAAACGCCTTGCCCTTGGATTGGCGCGAGATCGCTTGTTTGTCCTGTCGTCCGTCTCCTTCGGCTCATCGTCATCGTCGTCATCGTTCTCCTTCTCCCCTCCTGGGAGCTCCTGAATCCTCTTGGGGCCATGTAAAGGCTAATTTCGGGTTGCCTGGTCGCTCTTGGTGGCCCTTTTGGATCTTGGGGGCCTTCTTGGGGGCTCCTTTGGCCCTTTCTGGTCCCTCCCTGCCTCTTCAGCGGCCCACCTTAGGGAGCAGAAGCATGAAAACAAACACACCTTGATACCACCCTCGTTCAACATGTTTTGCTGTCAGGGGCTTCTCGTGCCCCTCACAAGCCGTCTGAAGAATCTCTTTGGAGGTGGCATCTCCTGGAATCCCCCTCTGCCATCTCGGCGGCATCTTTGCGCCCTTGTCGGCGCTCTTGAGGCCTACTCATGCCAACGACTTCATCGAAACAATGCGTGCTACACCTGACTGGCACGGGGACGGAACGCGCCTTCTGAACAACAATGCACGACATCTTCGGTCAGCCCGTTTTTGTTGAGCCAACCAATCGACCAACAAACGAACCGACCCGCAACCAACGGCCATCCAGCCAAGCTTATGGCCAACCAACCACCCAACAAGCCAATCGCCATCCAAGCAATCCACAAACCAACCAACACAACAACGAACCAACCAGCCAAACAACAATCCCGCTGGACAATCATAAAACATACCAACTGTTCAACCATTCACCTACCCAGCGATCCCAACCGATCCCAGCCGACCAACCGACTAATGAAACAGCGAATCAACCGATCGATTGAAACATTAGCTAGCAAATGCGCCAACTAACCAATCAACCAACACACCGAACGACCAATATGTATGTCAAATGGCCAACCAAACAACCAACCAACAAGGCAACCACCCTGCTATCAACCAACCAACCAACCAACTGACCAGAAACCAATCAGCAAACCAATCGGCCTATCAGCCCGCCAGCCAGCCAACCAACGAACCACACTCTCAGCCAGCCAACGAACCAGCCAGCCAGCCAGCCATTTAATCAATCAGCAAGCAAACGGATCAGCCAACCAGACAGCGCCGCGCCCAAACGCACAACAAGTACAAATAAGCTAATGCAACACAAACGGATTTGTTTAGACAACAAATGCATAGACATAAGCTTCCACAGGTCCGCGCGGATCGTTTGGATCTGCGCTTGATCCCCACCTCCCTGGCTCGCGGAGCGCGCCAGGGGCGGCGCCGGAGGTGACGCCAGGGGAGCCCCGGCGCCGATTCAAGACAACCACGCGGAGCTCATTCAGCTTTTCGTTTTCGAGTGGACTCACCAGCCCCAAGACGCGAAGACGGTTTCAATAGCCCAAAACATCTTCAGAGCTCCCCCAATAACAGCCGTCGAGTGGCATCGCGACGACCATGCCACACCACGACCGCACCACGCTCGGACGTTGCCACGCAACTTCCGCCACCGCGGTGGCCGATATGCTCGGCACTGCAACTGGACAGCTTGACGATGCGAGAATAACCTGCGTTGAGCGGGCTCAAGAGGGGACACGTCAAGCTGGAATCGACGATACATCGCCCACATATTGCCGGCTCAGGGAGGGAAACATCAAGCAAGAATCGACGATATCTCGCTCACAGATTGCCGGCTCAGGGAGGGAAGCATCGAGCTGGAATCGACGATACATCGCCGACGATCGGCGAGAGGCCCTCGATAGTGAAACCGAACGGTCCATGGCGGGGTTGGGCTATCGAGCCCCTATCGTCGATGGATGGCCGATTGGGCGTCGATGCATCCCTCCTGAGTCTATCCCCCAATAACGCTATCCCTGAATCTAACGAGATCCACCTGCCTGCGCGACGTCAGAACGATTGAGCTGGAGGTGAAAGCCAACAACATTGCCAATCAAAAAAGTGTGTGAGAGGCGGAGACGTGAGAGTGCGTGTCAAAACCGGATGTGCATGTATAGCATCAGGCAGAACATAGGCGTGATCCTGAAACTTGACCAGCTTTATCCTGGCCAGCAGGCAATGATATACAACACAATACGTCAGGAACGCAATCGCAGTGTGAGGCCCAAGACAAACACAACTGACAATCCCATGCTTTCGCATCCATTCATGTTGACGCAAAGATAGAACAAAAACACATAAACATAAGCTTTTGGCGCTCCGCGCGGATTTCTTGGATCCGCGCTGGTTCCCCCCCGAGTGGCGCCTCCGGCGCCGCCCCTGGCGCGCTCCGCGCGCCAGGGAGGGGGGTCCAGCGCGGATCCAAGAAATCCGCGCGGAGCGGCAAAAGTTTACGTGTTTGTGTTCTTTTGAAAAGAGCGGGTGGCGATAATGCCTGCCGTTTCAAAACCAAGGTTCGGCTCAAGCACGCTGCGGCTCATCTTTGCTGGCCGACTGGGAGCCCTGGGGCAACCCCGACGGGGGATCCGTGCCTGGAGCCCCCGCACTGGAAGAAGCGTGCTCGGGCCCAGACGAACCTCTGAGAACACGTCGGATGCCCTTTCCCGCATGTCGCCCCCTCCCTGGAGTCAGGTCGGGCATGTCCCCCCACAGGCGGATTTTGGGCGAAAAGCAAAGCAAAATTCAAACCATGTTCTTTATACCCAAACATATCAAATAGCATCGCCCCCAGACTTTGTTCCCCTCATTCTCGTTTTTTCTTGTTTCTCTCTCTCTCTCTCTTCTCTCTCTCTCTCTCTTCTCTCTCTCTCTCTCTCTCTCTCTCTCTCTCTCTCTCTTTTATTAAAAACAAGCAACAACTATTTTTAACTATTCCTCCTGTAGAGGGACAGGCCCGACTTAACCCTGGAGCTGCCTCCACTCCATGTCCTCCCTGCCCTCTGACTGTGAAAAGGGGAGGGGAGGGTCAGAGTGCCCCCCCCCCCCGCCCGCGATCCGCAGCATGGAGACGACAGAACTTTGCTTTTCTCCCCTCGCACGGAGGGCCAGCCGTGTGTCAACGCCTGGGCCGACAGGGCAGCGGATGAGGAGAGGAAGCAAGCACGAGGATGTATTTTTCGGGGGGACGTGAGACTCGGGTACGGGGAACTCGCGTGGGCCTGACGGGGGCCATCACAAACACGACGAGACCCAATCTGAAAATTGACGCGGGCTCCCGCTGCAGACACCCCACGAAAACGGAACCGCCGTCAAAATCCAGGACGCGCTCGTCAAAACAAGTCGGTAAACCCGAGTCCCCACTTTCTCGGTCTTCTGTTCCCCCGATATCTACACATACAGACAAAGACATCTTCCTGGAACTCCGTCTCTCCACCCCGCCCGGACAAGACCCTCCCAACCTTCGACCTCCCAGCCTCCCGCGGCCCCCCCTGCGGGAGTCGCGTGTCTTTCACTGCCCACTGGGAAGACTCCCTGGAGACGCCGCCCACGCCAACGTGAGGGACAACGTCAGGGGGGGACCACCTCAGGGGGCGATCATTTAGCTGGAATCAGCGATGCATCGTCGACAGGTCAGCGATAAACGCGCGGCTGGGACTCCACACGGTCCATAGTGGCGTTGGGATGTTGGACCCCCATCGGCGGTCAAAGGGCGACTGGGGGTCGATGCAGTCCCCCTAACGTTGCCCCTGTACCCCACCACGCCCACATCTTACCTCAACACTGTGCATTTCCAGCCTCTCCTCCCCCACCGCACTGCCGCCGGTACCCTGCCGTCGCTGTCCCAGCTAGAAGCCGGAGCGTGATCGCAAGATCTTCCCCCCAAACCCAAGGGCAGCTATGTTCGCGCTTCGCGCTGCGCGGACCGCGAAAATCTTCGCGCTCTGGCGCCGCACCCCCAGGGAAGAAGGGGAGGACGAGGAAGAGGAGGATGAGGAATCGCGAGTCGCGAGTCGCAACTCGCGAACCCCTTCGCGCCCTCGTGGCGGCCGTTCGAAGCTCGGATGAGCAGCTCAGCGCGAAATTTCAAACCTTGGAGGGACCCCGGCCATGCACAAACACAATTTGAGGACCTGGTTCAGATCTCCTGCCACTCTGCATGCGCCCGGGCCGCCAGGCCCGCGAGCCCCAGGAAACTCCAGGCCACCTCAAGCGGCATCTACGTCTACAGCTTCAAACCCTGTACTCTCTCTCTCTCTCTTTTTTGTTCTCTCTCTCTCTCTTTTTTTTTTTTTTTTTGTTCCTCTCTCTCTCTCTCTCTCTCTCTCTTATATATGTATATGTATATTTCTGGTATGAAATAAAACATGTATAGTATTCGATCTATATAACTATAAAATTAATGTACAACTCATGGTGTAAACATTTGGCTGACGGGTGGGGGAGAGGGGTGGGTCTGGTTCTTGGGCGGTGCTCAGTCGATCTGCCTTAACCCGTCGCGCAAGCAGACTGGGCGGGGGGCCCTGACCAGTCGCCAGAAGCAGCGGCCCAGAGCAGCCAAGATCTGGTCTGTGGTGGGGGGGAGGGGGCAGCGGGGGCCACCGCCGATCGGCGAAACACTGAATCAACAACAGCTACTTTTCGAGTGCAGTGCCGACCTCTGCCCAGTCGCTTCCGAGCCGCCCCCCGAAGCGAGGCGAGCCGTCCTGACGCCGACAGCCAGAGGACCGCCGTCCGTGGGCACCGGCGGGACGTCCCTGCGCGGCAGGGCCACGCCAAGGGTCTCTCTCTCTCTCTGCAGTGCTAGCTGCGTGGAGTGCGCGTCCGCGCTTTCGCGCTTAGTTTGGATCGAGCCTCGAGCGAAAAGACCGAGGCGGCGCGTTTCGCCCCCTCGGACTCTTCGGGCCACACATTTTCGGCGATGGAGCCTGCGGCGGAGCGGAGAGATGCAGTATGCGGTTGGGTTTCGCAGCGCCATGCGGTGCACGGTGCCTTCTTGGAACCCCCAACTAGGGGAACAAAAAGTGACATAAAGCATAAAAACTCGGAGGTCCGCGCGGACTTCTCGGATCGGCGCTGGACCCCCCTCCCTGGCGCGCGGAGCGCGCCGGGGGCGGCGCCGGAGGCGTCACCCGGGAGGCCCCGGCGCCGATCCGAGAAATCCGCGCGGACCTCCGAGTTTTTATGTTTTATGCCACTTTTTGTTCCCCTGCCAGCGTGCACTGCAAACCAACTCAACTACACGCAAGAATGACCCTGGGTAAGAGTGACCTTTGGTGCGCGGCTTTTTGGGGACCGCGGGGGGACCAACCAAAGGCGCGCAAGACGCTACCATCGCATCCCGTTCCGCGATCGTGGCACCCCAATGTGCCCGCACCAAAGGTCACTCCGGCGAAAGGTCACTCTTACGTCTAGTCAAACCAAGGCGCTCTCGTGACTTTGCTCTGGCCGCGCGAGTGCCGCTCCGCCGTGCCGTCGCAGACTGCTCGCGGCGCCGAGCCAGGCGCTGGGCCGCCCGTGTGGACGAGCTGTGCCGGCCAGGCCGCCTCAGCGCCCTCGGGGGGCCCACGTGCGCGAGCGAGCACGCACGGGCGAGTGTGCACAGCACGCGCTCACGGCGCAGACATAGGCCGTCGTAGCCAACCGCTCGCAGCCAGAGCAGCACCCGGCATACGCGACTGACAACGTCAACCACGAGGCAGACGGGCGCACTGATTCGCAAGAAACCCGACCATCGGATTCAAACTGATCCAAACGAAACTCGCGTGCAGCCGTGTGATTCTGACAGACTCGGAAAGAATGCTCAAGCTCGTGGGGAGGGCAAGTGCGATCAGACCACAGAAGCCTCGGATCGAATTGCAAGATGACGCGATCCAAAAGACCGAGTCCCGATTTCGTAATCAGACGAGGCTGAAGAGCCTTGCACTCTTTGAGCGTGCCAAGCCCTCCTCCTGACGCCACCCACCTCCCTGCAGCCACACAGTGGGCTGACAAAACGACCCCCACATGTCAGCAACGCAATCATCTTCGCCGAATGATGCTCAACCTGTCGAGCCACATGTCGCGTGGGCGAAGCAAGCGGATTCGGATTCAAATCAGCGAACGAGCTCATTTGGACCTCGAACAAATCGCGCACAGATCTGACTATGCCTTATAAACGCCGCGCCAGCTCTCCCACGCTTGCATTACGCATGTTGCATCAGAGTCAAGCCTGTCACAAACTATGCCCCGAGCTACTACTCACATGACATCGTGTACATGAAAGCTGGGAGAAAGGGGGCCAACTCGAGCTCCCAAGGCGGTGAAACATGCACAAGGAAAGTAATGCGTCAGGATGATTGAGCGGATGGGGATGGCGGCACATAATGCAACTCAGAGACGCGGACCTGATCGTGCGAGGGTTTTTCAAGCCCTTGAATTTCCGCAGCAAGTCGTACTGATTATCTAATTCAGCCTGTCAGGGCGGGATGTACGGGGGGCGAAGTGGCTAGGAAAACAAGACACAAACACCTACAGACTTCTGCTTTGTATGGAAGACGAGCGTCGCTACCCCCACATGGCACACAACCAATACCGAGGTTCAGACACTAACATATGACGGATATTCTCCTCCTCCTCCTCCTACTCCTCCTCCCCCCTCCTCCTCCTCCTCCTCCTCCTCCTCCTCCTTCTCAACTCCTTGCGCTGAAAGTATCTTAGTTCTGTTCAAAAAACTGGGCCTGTACGCCGTCCTGGCGTCTATGCAATCGCCGTCGCCGCCCCGTCGCTGCCTCGTCGCCGCCCACCGTCTGGGCCCGTGCGTCGGTCTGGCGGCTATGCAGTCGCCGTCGTCGCCCCGTCGCCGCCACCGCCACTCGTCGCCGCCGTTAGATTGCTTTGCGTTGCATTCCTTTGCGCTGCAATCGCATTGCGCTGCACTGCTTTACACAGATTTGCACTGCTTTGCATTGTTATGTCGTACTTTGTGCTGCGTTGCATTGCATTGCTTGGCACTGCTGGCTTTGCTTTGCGTTGATCTGCATTACTTTGCATTGCTTTGCGCTGTTTGGCATGCCATTCCCTTGATGCGTATTTCGCTCCGTTGCTTTGCACTGCTTCGCATTGGTTTGCATTGCGTTGCACTGCTGTGCCTTGCTTTACATTGCTTTGCGTTGCATTGCTTTGCGTTGAATGGGTTTGCGTTACATAGCGTTGCATCACACGCCTTGGTCTTGTTTGTTTGCGCTGACTTGCACTGCTTTGCACATATTTGTATTGCTTTGCATTGCTCCGCGCTGCATATCACCACATCGCCTACACCGCATAGCTCGCACCACATACACTGCACTGCGCATACTGCACCACTTCAGCTCGCACCGCATACACTGCGCTACGCATAATTCACCGAGTAGGTGGCACCACGCCAAGCAGCTTACACCACACATATCACAACGCATGGGTTGCACCACACAGCTCACAACCGATCGATCGCGCCACATAGATAACACCACGTAACTTGCACGACACAGCTCACGTCACACCACATCGACGAGTACGTTGGCTCCTAACACGCGCACTGCATCAAATACCTTACAATAGCTGGCACGACATATCTGGCACCGTATAGCATGCACCACACGCCTATACCACACAGCGTGCATCACGTATGTTGCACCACATAGCTTACGCTTCATACTTTGCACGTAATATATAGCACACCCAAAGACACTCTGTTTGGGGTCCGACCTGGCTAACATCTTTACACGTGCACGGACACGACACAACCGCAACAACCGCGAACTTACACATACCCATACCTAGTCAACCCGTCATAATACATGACACTTGCACCAACAACGTACGACATGATATTGAAGTAATACATACAACCGGGGATGGCACTCACAACTGCTTATGCGCGCACGGGGGTGCACTCTGCACCACCAGCAGGAACACGCACCGCTGACATGGCCAAGCGGGCCCCACAGAGGCCCCCAAGAGGCCCCAAGATACCCCCTAAACGGGCCACAGGAGGCCTCAAGAAGGGCCACATAGACACTCACGTCACTTCAAGAGGCTCCACAAGAGCGGGCAAGATGCCCCCCCGACGCCACACGAGGTTTCGAAAACGCCCCCCGAAAGATACCCCAAGAGCCCCAGGGAGGTATCCACGGGACCTCTGGCCCAGGCAGGGTCCCCGAGACCTCCAAACGATGCTGCGATCCCGCGTTTAGGGCAGCTCCACTTGGGATGGTGCCTGCATGGGCTGCTCGGGATACGCGGAGATTGAAGACATGCGAGCTCTATGTCAGAATGCGTCTCCCCACCCAGTACAGCGTTTCGTGGCCGCACAGGGAGCTCCACCGAAGGCCCCAGTGGCTGAGCTCGCATGCGTTTCCCCTACCCAGTGCAGCGTTTCGTGGCCCCATATGGATCTCCTCCGAAGGCTCCAGTGGCTGAGCTCGCCACCAGTACAGCGTTTCGTGGTTCCATGGGGAGCTCCACCGAGGGCACTAGTGGTTGAACTCGCATGCAGTTTCCCCACCCAGTACAGCGTTTCGTGGCCCCATAGGGAGCTCCACCGAGGGCACCAGTGGTTGAGCTCGCATGCGGTTCCCTCACCCAGTACAAGGTTTCGTGGGCCCACAGGGAGCTCTACCAATGGCCCCAGTGGCTGAGCTCGCACGCGCTTCCCCCACCCAGCACAGCGCTCCATGGCCCCATAGGGAACTCCACCAAAGGCCCCCGTGGCTGAACTCGCATGCGGTTCCCCTACCAGGAGCCACACTTCGTGGCCCCACCTGGAGCTCCACCGAAGGCCCCAATGGCTGAGCTCGCATGCGGTTCCCCCACCCAATACAACGTTCCGTGGACCCATACGGAGCTGTTCCAACGGCCCCTGTGGCTGAGCTCGAAAGCCACCCCCACACAATACAGCGTGTCGTGGCCCCGTAAAGGCGCTCCTCCGAAGGCCCCAATGGCTGAGCTCTCATGCGGTTCCCACACCCAATAGAAAGTTTCGTGGGCCCATAAGGAGCTTCACCGAAGGCCCCAGTAGCTGAGCTCGCATGCGGCTCCCCCACTCAATATAACGTTCCCTGGGCCCATACGGAGCTGTTCCAACGGCCCCTGTGGTTGAGCTCGAAAGCCATCCCCCCACCCAGCACAGCGTTCCTTGGCCCCAGAGGGAACTCCACCAAAGGCCCCCGTGGCTGAGTTCGCATGCCGTTCCCCCACCAAGTACAACGTTTCGTGGCCCCATCGGAGCCCCACCGAAAGCTTCAGGGGCTGAGCGCGCATGCGGTTCCTCCACCCAGTACCGCGTTTCGTGGCCCCACAGGGCGCCCCACCGAAAGCTCCAGTGGCTGAGCTCGCATGCGATTCCCCCCCCCAGAAAACGCATCGTGGTCCCATAGGGAGCTCCACCGAAAGCCACAGTGGCGGTGTTCGCATGTGTCTCCTCAACCCAGTACACCGCTTCGTGGCCCCATGAGCAACTCCACCTTCGGCTCATAAACGGTGTTCGTATGCGCTTCCCTCACCCAGTACAAAGTTTGATGGCCCCACACGGAGCTCCACCGAAGGCTCCAGTGGCTGAGCTCGCCACCAGTACAGCGTTTCGTGGTTCCATGGGGAGCTCCACCGAGGGCCCCAATGGCTGAGCTCGCATGCGCCTCCCCCGCCCAGTAGAGCGCTTCGTGGCCCCACAGGGATTTCCACCGAAGGGCCCAGTGGCTGAACTCGCGTGCGGTTCCCCCACCAAATAACAAGTTTCGTGGCCCCGAAAAGGGGGCTCCACCAAACACACCAATGGGTGAGTTCGCATGCGGTTCCCCCGCCCAATATAAGGTTTCGTGGGCCCAAAGGGAGCTCTACCAAGGGCCCCAGTGGCTGAGCTCGCACGCGGCCCCCCCACCCAGCACAGCGCTCCATGGCCTTATAGGGAACTCCACTGAAGGCGCCCGTGGCTGAGCTCGCATGCGGTTCCCCTACCAGGAGCCACGCTTCGTGGCCCCATACGGAGCTCCACCGAAGGCTCCAGGGGCTGAGCTCGCATGCGGCTCCTCCACCCAGTATCGCGATTCGTGGCCCCATAGGAAGCTCCACCGGAAACCCCAATGGCTGAGCTCGCATGCCCCCCAAAAACGCTTCGTGGCCCCATCCGGAGACCCACCGCACGCTCCAGGGGCTGAGCTCGCATGTGGTTCCGCCCTCCCAGTACAGCGTTTCGAGACTCCGTGTGGAGATCCATCGAAGGCGATACCCGCACCTGATGCACTCACAACTGCATATGGTTGGGTCCTTCGCCAAGCGACTCCCTGGGGCATCGACGTTTACGTGTGTGAAAATGCACGTATGGAACTCCCCCCTCCTCTCTTCCCGCTCCTCTGAGCGAAGCCGAACAGAACATAAAAAACCAGCGGGGGCGGATTCCGCAACAGAAAATATTAACCACCTTCGACCACAAGTTCTCCTCCCTTTTCTACCCTTCGGCCGTAAATACTGCCTCTAAACGATTCCTGTACGATTCCGACTTCAACCGCCAAGCGAACATTGACGTTAGCAAAAGGGAACGACCATAATGGTTACTAGTAGTATTACTCGTAGCAGTAGTAGCAGTAGCAGCATCAGTAGTAGTAGTAGTGGTAGTAGTAGTAGTAGTAGTGGTAGTAGTAGTAATAGTAGTAGTAGTAGTCGTAGTAGTCGTAGTAGTCGTAGTAGTAGTAGTAGTAGTAGTAGTAGTAGTAGTAGTAGTAGTAATCATAGTCGTAGTGGTAGTAGTAGTAGTAGTCGTCGTCGTGCTAGTACTAGTGGTGGTAGTAGAAGTAGTAGAAGTAGTAGTAGTAGTAGGAGTAGTCGTAGTAGTAGTAGTAGTAGTAGTAGTAGTAGTAGTAGTCGCCGTAGCAGTTGTCGTAGGAGTATGAATATGAAGATTCTGGGTAGTAGTAGGAATAATAATAGACGAAAACGAGTGAAAGTAATAGTCGTAACCGTACAAGATGAAACCGTAGTCGTAGAACTATTAGTAATCGTAGTCGTAGTCGTAGTCGTAGTCGAAATACGAGTAATAGTAGTAGTAGTCGTAGTAGTAGTCGTCGTCGTCGTCGTACTAGTACTAGTGGTGGTACTAGTAGTAGTAGTAGTAGTAGTAGTAGTAGTAGTAGTAGTCATACTAGTAGGAGTAGTCGTAGTAGTAGTAGTAGTAGTAGTAGTAGTAGTAGCAGTGGTAGTAGTAGTAGTAGTAGTAGTAATAGTAGTAGTAGAAGTCGTCGTAGCAGCTGTCGTATGAGTATGAATATGAAGATTCTGGGTAGTAGTAAGAATAAGAATAGAAGAAAACTAGTGAAAGTAATAGTCGTAACCGTACAAGATGAAACCGTAGTAGTAGAACTAGTAGAAATCGTAGTCGTAGTCGTAGTCGTAGTAGTAGTAGTAGTAATAATAATAGTAGTAGTAGTAGTGGTAGTAGTAGTAGTAGTAGTGGCAGTGGTAGTAGTAGTCGTAGTG